AAATTTTTTTTTAACATGCTAATGGTCTAATCTGTATCAATGATTTATGCTAAGCTAAGCTAAAAGTGCAAACGCCAGACCTGGATTCAGAAATGGTAAAACTCGACTGTTAGAGCTGTGAAGTCTGTCTGTATCCAAACACACTTGAGTGTTGCTTTAAAACGAGGTCAGATTTATTCTTTGTAAATGACAGAAGAGTTTAGACAATTTTCAGATTTAACGCTTTACTCAGGTAAAAACACTGAAGAAAGTGTTGCATGCAGAACTGTTGCAAACAATTTATTTGTGTTGAATTTAAACAAACAAAGTAAGTTTTAAAAAGTTCAGCTTAATTTGTTTGTTTAAATTTAGCCCAAATAAATTATTTACAACCACTTAACGTAAAAAAATTGAGTAAATCCAAAGAATCATCTTTGAATTATTTTTTTCAGTGTAGTACATGATGTTACTACAGAAAAGTCGAGCTTTAAACAGGACAATTATCTTTTTTATTTATTTATTTTTTTTTTTATGCTAATGGTCTAATCTGATTTAATGATTTATGCTAAGCTAAGCTAAAAGTGATTGGCTGAATGGGTTAATAAATTGTGTAACTCAACTGTTGAACTCTAGGCTACTTATATAAAACGTAAAATGTTAAAACGAGGTCAGATTTATTCTTTGGAATGCTGCTATTGTGTTTAGATATTCAGAGATTCAGCCACGCTTGTGATTTCGGAAATCCAAAATGAAAAGGAAAACTGGCTTTTGCAATGAATCCAACAGTGTATTCTCAAACTTCAAGAGTTTAACCCACCCACCGATGATTTATTTGAAGGCAGCCGAGTTTCACTGGGTTGTCCTTCTGTACACTTTAACCTCATATTCAGTTCAAGGTTATTTATATAGCGCTTTTCACAATAATTATTGATTCAAATCAGCTTTACAATGCAATGTCATCCAGTCCCTCTTTTATGCATGTGTCAGTGATCATGATCGAAAGGCTCTTTTGTGATTCCACTCTGTTTTCACAACCAGTTGAAGTGGTTTGTTTGGACCGCATAAGCTTTATTTGAGGTTTGATCAGTTATATGAGAGAGGAATGTGGTCTGATTTTATTTTTTTTGGGGGGGATGTGTTGACACAAGGCCATCTGAAGCCCTAAAGAGCCGTGGCATTGCTGATTACTGCCTCTCTACTGCACATACTGAAGAGAGATTGCTCTGCCAAAACACAACACTTTCAACACGCATGGACCAGTGGAGATCACACTTGGTTGTTTGTGACATTTCACATTAAGTGTAATGTCGCTGTGTTCAAAAGTGAGATGTACGATGTTAAAAACAAATAAAAATTGCGATATTTAGATTTTCTGCTATTCTATATTGTGGTATGAATACAATTTGAGTAAATAACTTAAACGATTTCAATTGATTGGGATGATTTTGTAGGGAAAAGAATCATGCGTGAAATATGAAAAAACATTACAAGCATTTGTGTTATCACTATACTGGAGTTCCCAATTTCAATACAATTTCAATACAAAATTTCGATACCAATATAATACCAAAATTCGGTATACGATTTTCGAAATGCAGATATTTCGTTATCAATTTCAATACGAAAAATATTAGTATTCGAAACCATTTTTTTTTATACATTTCAATTTTAACATTTAAATTATACAAATGATATAATATGCATATGATAATATGCATAAAATGCTCATACCAGGTACGTCAACAGTTCTAAACTCAGAAATAAAAGTGAATAATTTTGACTTGAACTGTATTTCTTTCAGCCACCCCACATTGTGGAGGCCTGAGTACGGCAGCTACATGATCGAGGGAACACCGGGTCAGCCGTATGGCGGGACGATGTCGGAGTTCAATACGGTTGAGGATAACATGGGGAAGCGGAGGAGAGAGGCTTCATCTGTGCTCAAGAAGAACGAAACTCTCCTCACAGTCACGGCATTCCCCAGGTAATAACATCATCATCGTTTACTAAACTCCAGTCAATGCTTGGCTTTAGTCTTGTAATAATATCCAAGTTGTGTACACAATGCCAGATGTCCTTTAAAACCATTTCCTGATATGTTTTATGCGGATCTTCCTGATGACCTTTTCCACAACTATTCATTTACAGATTGTCGAAATATAGGCACTTCCGCCTCATTAAAGCTATAGTTCATGTACAAATTTAAATCATATTTTAATCTCCTTCATGCAGCTTTAAATCTTCAGTTGAACACAAAAGAAGATATTTTGAAGAATGCTGGAAACCTGTAACCATTAACTTGCATAGTAGGACAATAAATGACTGAAAGTCAATGTTTTTTTTTAGAAAAATGTGCCACACATTCTCTATTAGAGACAGGTCAGGACTGCAGGCAGGTCAGTCAAGTACCTGTACCCTCTTCCTCCACACCCAGGACTTTGTAATGTGTGCAGAATTCGATTCTGCATTGTCTTGTTGAAATAGTCATGGGCGTCCCTGGAAAAGAAGGCAGCATGTTGTGCTCCAAAATCTCTATGTGCTTTACAGCATTAATGGTGCATCACAAAAGTGAAAGTTACCTTTGCCAAGGGCACTGACACATATCACATACCATGACAGACCCGAGCTTTTGGACTGGTTGCTGGAAACAGTCTGGATGATCCTTTTGTTCTTTGGTCCAAAGCACACAGCGTCCATTACTCCCAAAAAATACTGATTCATCTGACCACAGTACATGTTTCCACTGTGTGTTGGTCCATCTTAGATGCCTCCGAGCCCAGAGAAGTTGATGGCGCTTCTGGACATTGTTAACATAGGGCTTCCTTTTGGCACAGTACAGTTTTCCCTGGCATTTGTGGATGTAGCTATGTATTGTGGTACCTGACAAAGGTATGCCGCAGTATTCCTGAGCCCATGTGGTGATATGGCTTATAGATGAGTGAGGATTCTTGATGCAGCGCTGCCTGAGGGATCAGAGATCACGGTTATTCAGCTTAGGCTTGCACCCTTGTCCTTTACACACTGAAATTTCTCCAGATTCCTTGAATCTCTTAATGATGTTCTGCACTGTTGATGGTGAAATATCCAACTATCTTCCTCTTATTTCTTTGAGGAACATTGTTTTTAAACATTTCAACAATTTTCTCATGTATTTGTTGGTAAACTGGCGAATCCTCAGCCCATCTTTGCTCCTAAAGGATTAGACCAGGGGTGGGCAAACTCAATCCAGGAGGGCCGTTGTCCTGCACCGTTTAGCTCCAACACTAATCAAACACACCTAGACATGCTAATCAGTGTCTTCAAGATCACTAGAAATCTATACGCAGGTGTGTTTGATTAAAGTTGGAGCTAAACTGTGCAGGACACCGGCCCTCCATCACTGGACTAGACCTTTCCTGGATGCTGCTTTTGTACTTAATCATGATTACAATCACCTGTTCACATCACCTGTTTCAAATCACGTCATCATTTAACCAATTTACCTAATTACTAGCTCTAAACTGCTCCTGTTACAACTTTTAAAAATTTTAATATGTAAAAAAAAAAGCTATGGATATTGTGAGAAGCACATTAAATAATGCTAGTTTTATTGTCTGCAATGAAGTACAAGTCAAAGTAAATTTAGAAATCACAATTTTTTTATTTGCATTTTTTATACTGTCATAACTTTTTCTGATTTAGGGTTATATTTAAAATAAAGGAAAATTCATTAAACGAACATTAGCATGCAAATGGGCTTCATACAGGGTGTTTTTGTTTTTCTCTTCTTTCATTTTTGTTTTCGAACACTGGCTAAGCAATAGATGACATGTTAATTTATTTCCAAAATAATTACTAGTTAGCTCTGTTTAAGTGGACTTTGTGTTTGCTGATAACCCAAAACACAGGTAGCGCAGCTCAACACCACTCCATTTTTCCACAGCAGCACAAGTTATTATATAACAGCACCACATTGCGAGTAAATCACCCACAGCATGTGACTAAAGTTCATGCTAAATATTTTCTTTTGTTAGCTCTTGGCTCATTTCTTAGCGTTTGAGTTAGAGACTAAGAATAAGTTTGGCTCTGATAATGTTTCAGTCAATAAGTGCACTATGTGTACTCAATGATATTAGTGATACACTGTTTTTGATGCACCGTGGCTGATAGAGATGTGTGTTTCACATGTGAGGAGAGCGTAACTGCAATACAATAAGTGAATGCATGTGAAAAAATAAATAGTTATTATTTTTGTCTAGTCAAAAGTGAGTTGAGGATAAGGGGCATAAAGGGCCTGTGCATTGTGGATAGCCTAGTGGTCGAAGGACCTGATCGTCGGGCACTGAAACTGGCTCCTGGGACATGGACCTAGGAGACTAGTTGCAAGCAGAATTTTTTATTGAGACATGTTCAAACAGCATCTTCAAGAAGTCCAGGCCTACAAGAGTGTCTTACAGTCTAAAAAGTGTCATCTTACAAGTTCAAAAAAGAGTTTAATTTGGACAGAAATACAGAAATAAATGACTTTAATACAGAATTTTTTTTGGTGGGTGGGGGGGGGTAGTGGCCAAAGGCGAAGACAAATCTAAACAAAGCAAGCAATTTAAGTAGACGGGGCAAAGAACCTGTCCAGCCACTGACGCATGTTTATCAACAAAAGATTGTCTTTGTCCTGAAAGTATAACCCAAAGACGAAGACACAGTTGTTGGGACCCTGCCTTCAGCATTCGCATCACTTGGAGTTCTGCCAGTGCTCAAGAAGGCAAAAAGTTTAATGCCTTTGTCACCCGGGCTGCTTGAGTTTTGTATAAAATAATAAAAATAAAAACCAAAGAATATGACTTTTACTTTATATACATTTATTATTGTTAATTTGGGGCTAGATTATAAACATTTTTGTTTCAACTTCTATATATGAGATAAACTAATACAAATGGTGAAACATCTGTTTTTATGCATAAAACTGTCCGTTTGTTTGACTGATCTGGGTGTGTCGTGTATTTGCTGATAGCATTCACCCTTTAACCCCTTTTAACCACTTTATTGACCCTGATAATACAAGTAAACACAGGCTTATATTTGTATTTCCATGCTAATAAACCAGAGTAGAGTTGTGACTTAAAGAAAAACAGGTTCATTTTGCAAGTCACCCAGAGTTAAACAGTTTAGTTTCACCATTTTTAAGTCTATTCAGTCGATCTCCAGGTCTGGTGGGAGCATTTTTAGCTTAGCTTAGCATAAATCATTAAATCAGATTAGACCATTAGCATCTGACAACATAAGTTATTTTTTCTATTTTAAATGTTGACTATTCTGTAATTTCAATATGTACGAAGACTTACAGAAAATGTAAAAGTTATTATCTTATATTTTGCTGTATTTGGCTTAACCGTTCTTGGGTGGCTCGCCAATGTATTAGATGGCTCTAATATATAAAATAAGTAAGCTGAGCAAAGTTCTTACAGGGAAAGGACTGTATTGAACATAATGAATAGTACCTCAGTTTCTCAGCATTGATGTTAACTCGTCGCTCTTCAAGCAACTTAACCCAAAGTACTGTCCATGAGACACAACTTTATACTAGCAACAGCAAACAAGCCATTCTGTGTTCACTCAGCGGGATCCTCTTATCAGATGTTTCAGCTGTTGTTTTGCTTGTAGCCATTGAGAACTCAAGGCTCACACCCATCGTAAAAGGATCATTTACTTCACATCTATCAGTTTGTGGGGGTTAAGGCACAGGTCACCACCAACATACACAGAATTGCTCACATCAGAGTTCATTCAATGCAGCCAAACTAAAATGCACATAGTCTTCCATATCATAAGATGATTGTGCCTGCTGCATGGTAAAGACGTCCCTAGATTGTTACGCCAGAATGAGAGTATAATTCTTTGCCAAATTGACCTTGAAATAGCAACTTTCATGTTCTGTCAGTCTGGATACATGAGCTAACTACAGAAGAATCAAGCTGTGAAGTACACATGAAGTCAAAACTAGCCATATTGATTTTGTTAGCTCACATTGCTTTGTGGTGAACAATTCACATGTGTGTGTCATTAAGAAAAGGGTTTGCGCTTGTAATTTTAAAGATAAAATTTTAATATATGCACTTGTTTGTTTTCAGTTCAATTGTCAGATTAGGTCTGTCTGAGGTATTGGGCGGGGCTAACATTTTTAACCACACCCCTCCAGTTGTCAGTTTTCACAACAAACAGAAACGGTGAGCAGGAGGAGTCTATTAGGTCGTAATAACTCTCCCCAAATCCTTTTCCACATCTTTCTGAAGGAAATGCCTACTTAACTACATCCTATCAGTGTGAGTAGAAAAAAACAAGCCACGCCCACTGTTTTCTAATTTAATATTCCGTTTCTCTAGGAACTGTCACATTACGAAAAAAAAATGGTCGCAGCTTTCTGTTCATGCGGACTTTAATTTATTAATGAGAGTTTAATGAGAGTAAATGCATGAACTAACATTAACTAATGAAAACCTATTGTAAAATGTTATCAAAAAATTCTAAAAATATAAATAAATTATAAGATGATATCAAATATAAGATGATTTATATTTTAAATACTGTCACAATTTTTTTTATTTTATTGAGCAAGATGCTAATGGTCTAATCTGATTCAATGATTTATGCTAAGCTAAGCTAAAAGTGCTCCTATCAGACTCTGAGATCATCTGAATGGATTAAAAAATGGTAAAACTCAACTGTTAACTCTCCAAAACTCCTCCAAAAATTGTGTTTTTTAAAAAAAACTTTTTAAAAAATGTTGTATTTCAGGTTAGGCTGCCCGGGCTTCACCCTGCCGGAGTACAAACCCACACCTGTTGAAAAAGGGGTTTCCAAATCGCTGTTCTTCCCAGACGAGGCCATCAACCGACACCCGAGATTCAGGTGAGAGATCAAGTGGCCTTTAATTCAGCTCTGACCCGTCCAGATGAGTTTCAGTCTCTGATTTCATGTGGAAACGGCCCCACTGGGAGTTTTAGGAGACGTCTGACCCGAACGATGCAGTAAACAGATACTGTAATAAAAGTATAGTTTAATAAGAGTAAATGCATGAACTAATATTAACTAATGAAAACCTATTGTGAAATGTTACCAAATAACTCTAAAAATATAAATTACAAGATGATATAAAACATAAGATGATTCATATTTAAAATAGTGTCACATTTCGAAATGTGGCCCTTATTCATCAGCTCTGACCTCCCGTCCAGATGAGTCTCTGATCTCATGTGGAAACGGCCCTGAACAATGCGAAGCTGTTTGTGTAAGCTGGAGCTGGCAGGCTTTAGCAGGGGATTATGGGGAGCCCAGTCCCACAGACAATGATCTTTCACATACCAGCAGCCCAGAGCGTTTATACAAAGCGCTGTTCATCTGATCACGCTACACAATCACCGCTGGTTATGTTACGGTTGCTTATATTTACATTAAAGATTTTAGCAAACCATTGATTTTAAAGTCCACACAAAATCATAATAAAGTCATTTAGATTAGTGCTTCTCAACCACGTTCCTGGACGACCACCAACACTGCATGTTTTGGATGTCTCCTTTGTTTGTCACACCCATTACAGGTCTGTCAGTCTGCTAATGAGCTGATGATCTGAATCAGGTGTGTTTGGTTAAGGAGACATGGGAAATGGAGAGCTGGTGGTCCTCCAGGAACGTGGTTGAGAAACACTGATTTAGATCTTATTATCTGTATATTATCCAACCCTATAGGACAAATTTAGGAAATAACCCCATTTATATATTTTGATGTGGTTCTAGAACTGAACTAATTTTTGCCATCATTTCTGAATGAATGTATATCTCTATGTAGATTTGTTATAATATGTGTCTATGTCTTTAAGAATGTGATCAGATTGCAAGTTGTAAAGATCCAAAACAGTGGGCAAATAGCATTTAGAAGATATAAACATCTAAAGCTTGCAGTTTGTCAATTCCAGTTTTTTATTGGACCTCATACTTCAGTTTCTCATCTAATCTTCTGACCAATCATATGCTCTCTAGTGTCTGACATGCCCCGCCCCCTTCAAGATGCTATTGCTTTTTGTGTTTGATCTCAGTCTCTCTCACTGGCGAAGCTGTGATGATAACAAAAGGCTATTGGATGTTTTAAAAAGGGGGAGGAGCTAGTCCGTCCCACCCTGTCTTCATGTTTCAGGTCAAATTACATCACACATTAAACAAAAATGCACATTTCAAAGCACTTCACTCGACCTTTAAGCTTCTGAGTTATTTTGCACTGTTTGTTATGGAGGATGAAACCTGCAACAATAAATACGCAAATCAATAAATAATGTATGTAAAAATCCACAAATTCCTGCATAAATAAAACAATAAATAAATACGCAAATAAATAAATGATTAAATAAATCCATAAATTCCTGCATAAATAAAACAATAAATAAATACGCAAATAAATAAATGATTAAATAAATCCATAAATTCCTGAATTAATAAAACAATAAATAAATATGCAAATAAATAAACAATGTATATAAAAATCCACAAATTCCTGCGTAAATAAAAAATAAATAAATAAATATGCAAATAAATAAATGTATATAGAAATCCACAAATTCCTGCGTAAATATATAAATAATAACACTGCTGGCAGGAAAGTAATTGAATAAATTACTTATTAAATAAGTAAATGCTGAACTAAAAGTTGATTTTTTTTTCCCCCTTTCAAACGTTTTTTAATAATTATAATAATGTAATAATAAAAACCGAATTATAGTGATATAATAATTTAAAAATGCACAATTAATTTGATGATTAATTTATTTGCGTATTTATTTATTTATTGTTTTATGCAGGAGTTTGTGGATTTATTTACTCATTTATTTATTTGTTTATTTATTTAGTCTTTTATTGTTTTATTTTTGCAGAAATGTGTGGATTTATTTAATCATTTATCTATTTTTTGCGTTTTTATTTACTGTTTTATTTATGCAGGAATTTGTGGATTTTTTACTCATTTATTTATTTTTTGCATATTAATTTTCATATTTATGTGTTGTTTTATTTATGCAGAAATTTATGGATTTATTTAATCATTTATTTTTTTTGCATATTTATTTGCATATTTATTTATTTATTTATTGTTTGCAATTTTCATCTTCCATAGTTTGTGCTGTAGATGTAAATTGTAAATATGTTTCTAAATATTTATAGAGATCGTTCACTTAAAAGTAAAGCTTCTTTCATCATTTACTCATCCTTGTTTTAAACCTGTTTGGGTTTTTTGGGGGGGCTTTTGTTGAGCACAAAGGAAGATATTCTGAAGAATGCTGGGGGAAAAAAGATAAAGCCATTGACTTCCATTGTATTTTTTTGTTCCTACAATGGAAGTCAATAGCTGCTTTTTCTCTAACATTTTTTTCCGGATAATAGAAGAAGGGAATTCTTAAATGTTTAATGTAACAGTAAATCAGTTTGGTTATTGTGTCTGAATCTAGCATGGATGCTTTAGCTTGTGCATCGCTAACAGATCTGGTTTGTTGTTGTGTTTCAGCACTCTGACCAGAAACATCCGCCATCGGAGGGGTGAAAAGGTGGTGATAAACGTACCAAGTAAGTTGTTAGTATGATTATTAATTTATTAAATGTTTTAATTATAGGATATTGCTTCTGTAATAAAAAAAAAAATTCAACATGAAACCCATCTGAACTGCGCTCTGGCACACCTCTTCCAACCGGGCCAGAGCCGGCCAACTGAACCTCGCCTGGGCATGGCACTCACTTGTCAAACAGACCAGGAAATGCACACAGAAATGGTTCGGATAGCCTAGTGTGAGTGCACTCTTATTCAAATAATGCTAATAGGCAGCTGGTAGACTTTAAATAAATAAATAAATAGTGTTAAACATGTATTTTAGTTCCCCTCACTCCACATCAAATCCTCCAGATTTAACGCTGTTTAGGAAAACGATTGATGTTAATGGATTGAATACCACGAAGTAAGAATGATCAATACATGTTAATAATAATGATAATCATAGTTCAACATTTAGTAATATTTTATCATAATCCAAATTCTTGCTTGGCGTTAGTTTATGCACTTTGAGTTAAAGTTGTTCATTGTTATCACCATTAACTAACATCAAAGACCAAGAATAAATACTGTAATAAATGTAGAGCTCAATGCTTGTTCATGTTAGTAAATACTGAAACTAATGAGAACAATGCTAAATGACTAAATGTAATGTGTTTTTGGACCAATGACATTTCACAGTGAGCAATGCTATTCACTTAAACGCTTTAAAAAACAAAGCAAAACGGTGCAGATTATGACCTTGTGCATTTGTTTTCATTACATTGCATTTAGTCATTTAGCAGACGCTTTTGTCCACATTGACTTGCAATTGAGGAGAGCCATACACACAAACAAAGAATAGGCAATGCACACAACAAGTGCTGATTATACAAAGCAACTGTGCTAGAATAAGGAGGAGGGAGTGTTCATTTATTCATTTATTTATTTTATTTTTTTAATTAGAGAAAAGAAAGAAGAACAATTGAAATAAAGAACAAAGCGGTTGTCATAGGGGTTACAAAATCATAATACATTTGACATACATTATCACAAATTGTTTACAATGACATATTCAGACCATTTTTGCCAGTACTTGTTGCACATCTTTGAATCAAATCTTAGATTAAAAGTGAGTCTCTCCATACAGCGTGTTTCCTTTACAATTCCTATCCGTTGAGCCCTTGTTGGAGGATCAGCCTGAAACCATTTTCAAGTTATCTGCTACTTACCAAAACGATTTGAATTAAGTATTTGTCAAGTTTTTTTTATTTTTATTTTGGTCTATTTATTTTTTAAAAAGGAATAAAAGTATTTCTACGGGTGGTTTGTCAAACCCACTCACCTGTGTAAAGCACACTTCATAAATGCACAGTGTTCTGCATGGATTGAAACTGCTTCTCTTTTGTTTATCTCAACAGTTTTTAAAGATATCAACACCCCGTCTCCATTCATGGAGGTGTTTCCAGAGGATGATGGAGAAGCTGCTCGAGGTGCCAAGCCGGATCACATCTACATGGACGCCATGGGCTTCGGCATGGGGAACTGCTGCCTGCAGGTGACGCTCAGAAACTCTCTCTCGTTGGTTTGCGCTGAGGATGTTTGGCTGAAGGTGTGTTTTTGATGTTATAGGTGACCTTCCAGGCTTGCAGCATCAGTGAGGCTCGATATCTTTACGACCAGCTGGCCACTTTCTGTCCCATAGTGGTGAGTAAATCACAAAAGCAGTGACATTTTAGATTATGATATACAGTCCAACACTAAATATTAGCCCAAAGAGTTTTCACTTATAGTGTCTTGCCTTAACGCCACATTCACACGGGGCGTCAGCGTCAACGCTTCCCATTCACTTTGAATGGGTGACGTCAGGCGTTGCCGACTTGCATTGTGGATCCGTCGGCGCCTTCAGAGGCGTTGCTTGCTGCAGAAGTTGGGACTAGCTCAACTCTTCAAGCGCCGTAGGAAGCATCAGCCAATCAGATCGCTGTATGCAAATACACCAGCTAGACAGTGGCCTATTGCTGACTGAATTTCATTGGCTGATGCTGCTTTGACGATCGCTTCACCCCCAACTTCAGACACGACCTCTGTCAAGCGTTGACGCTGAAGCTGAATGGGGCGTAAAGGTGCTTTATGTACGTTTTTGACTCTTCTAAAGCATAAAAACACCATAAAATGTTTGCAGATATTTAAGAAACATGCTCAGTGAACATTCTTGTGTATCTGAGAAACAATGCTGAAGTCAGAAATTCTGCTTTGAACATGTGCGTTACGTGCCAGAACGGCTGTCTTTGTTTTGGTTCCTTTAACCCACCCAATGCCAGTTTAGCCCATTATATTTCAGCACTCCGGGTTGCCTTAATTTTTTATTATTTTTTAATTGTTATTTTTTTATTGCATAACAAGAACAATAGCATGCAAAAAATGAGGAATACAATGCTTACGCTGTTTTCACTTCAAAGGAATAAATCAGTAGAAAAAAAAACAAATAAATACAAATAAAATTAATATACAATAAATAAATATATAATAAATAATAAATACATGATACTTCCCATATATTATCATTAAATTAATAAACAAATTTTGCTCCAAAGTTTTGTTATTATTATTGTACATAAAAAAAATGTATTTGCAAGAAAACTGAGTTTTTAATTTTATAAGTTTAAATTTAAGATATTCAACATCAAACCTAAACATTTGTGAATTCAAAAAACAGGTGTTTTATCGATCTCTAATTCACAAAAAGCGCACATATATTCCATGTCTTTAAAAAAATTTAATAACTTTTTTCCACAAGATATATTAAATGTATTCGTTTATATGTCACTTCTTTAGCTTTATTGGTGAGACAGGGTTTACTAGGTAAGTTTCAAACGTTTTTCCACTCAATTTGCTCAAATAAGGAATTCCAAAAAGATTTGCATTTAGGCAACAACGGGTTCTGCTTAACATTTAATGGTACAATTATTAAATGTATTGTCTGTAATTTGTACACCATTGACACTTAACTGATTAGTATGTAAAATATTTGATTCAGAGGATAAATTACAGGACTGTGTTGTGTTTATGGAAAACGGCGCATTTCATTCATTCAGTTAGGAAGGCTGTCAAAGCATGCGTCTGTGACCGAAATGCGACCTCTGGTGGACAGTAACAGCCTCTTACATGAGATGTGGATTCAGAATTCCACATGAGGTTATTGATTAGCAAATACTATAAATATTATGAGTGTAAACATCAGGTTAGCAGGTTACATTGTAAGCCAGTGTCCTAACAGCACGCTGTGTGACAAGTATTGCAGTGATGAGCAATTTGGCTGTTTGCACCAGACGAAACACGACAGAAATGTAAATACAGCCATTCAGAAGCACAGAATAGTGCACTCACTGCACTCCAGCCAAATGGTATGGTCTATAATCTAATGAATACATATTAAAGCTCTTTAACATGATTAAATGTAGATGCTGAATCACTGATATGTGTTGGTTTGCACTGAATTATAGTAATTTTCAAGATCTGAGGTGAACTATCTGCTGCTGCTTTCAGTATTACAACACTAAAAGTCATGTCATCATTTCGATGTGTTGGATAGGACAAAAACTCCTTTTAATATGAAGAATAACCCTTCTATCGCATGCCGTTGCTTTTATATTGACTACGATTTAAATCAGCCTTTAGGCTCGATCGTCAGACTGGCTCCTGTTGGTCCTCAATCTGGCAACCTGCACTTGTTTGTTTTGATCCAGGAATGCAATACCTAGTTCAACCACTGGGTGTCAGACTTGCATACTGCACCTTTAATGGATTTACTAACATGAACAAACGATGAACGATACATTTATTACAGTATTTGATCATGTTAGTTAATAAAAATGCAACTGTTCATGTTCATGTTACCTCAAGGTGCATTAACTCATGTTAACTAGCATGAATTTGGATGTTAATAATGCATTAGTAAATGTTGAACAATGATTAATAAATACTGTACAATTATTGGTCATACTTATTTCTTGTTTGGAAATTCATTAACTAATAACTCGGTGTTGGTAATATCTGCAGTACTGTATAATCCTGCTTCATCAATCTGTGTGTAGTTAGTGTTAACAGTGTTTTTGAGCTCTGCTGTTTGTGTTCAGATGGCTCTGAGCGCCGCCTCTCCATTCTATCGGGGTTTTGTGTCCGACATCGACTGCCGCTGGGGTGTTATCTCTGCATCTGTGGATGACCGTACCCGAGAGGAGAGAGGCCTGGAGGTCAGGACACACACCGGACATACACACTTCATTGTCAAAATGCTGATAAATGCACTGAATGAACATGACTTTACCTGCCCACAAAAACGTAGAAAGTCTTGTTAAAGGTTTTCGATCTTGTTCAGAATGAAATTGTTTGCATTTAGGAGGTCACAGTTTCTTGGGTTTCTTAAGGAACTTATGGGATAAGAGTCAGATGGTGAATGGAAAAATTATTACACCTTTTTGGTCTTTTTTTTTAATTGAGATGCTAATGGTCTAATCTGATTCAATGATCTATGCTAAGCTAAAAGTGCTCTCGGTGAATGTGTTAAAATAATGGTAAAACTCAACTCTTTAACTAAAGGGGAGTTAGAAAAAGAGACTTTTTACAAATAAGGTGGAGTGTTTCTTTAAGATTGCTTCGAAAAAAATGTAATATTCAGCATAATTATGATAATTATGTTCTATAATGTCAGGATGTTCTGTAACGCCCTTTTTTCACACAATAAACGTTCATACTTATAAGTAATAATAATAATAACAGTCCTGTGGATACATGATATAAGAAGACACCATCTGTTAATAATTTAAAAAGACTAGACTTGTTCCAAGGTTTGGAAAGTTTTGTAATAGTCAAACCAATTTGTGACTATATTGTAGGAATATTTTGACTATAAAACATACTTAAATGCGTATATATAGCTCCCTATTTATCACAGGCTGCCACAGCGGAATGAACCGCCAACTGTTCCAGCATATGTTTTACGCAGCGGATGCCATTCCAGCTGCAACCTAGTACTGGGAAACATCCATACACTCTCATTTATACACACACACACACACACTACGGCTAATTTAGTTTATTCAATTCATCAATAGCGCATGTGTTTGGACTGTGGGGGAAACTGGAGCACCAGGAGGAAACCCACGCCAACACCGGGAGAACATTCCACACAGAAATGCCAAATGGTCCAGCCGGGACTCAAATGCTGCTGATATTGCATTAAAACAGAAATAAACATTCAGACTCATTTAATTGAGTAAAAAAAGATGAAGCGACTTCAGCAGCTTTAGTTGAGGATATGTCAAATAATAATAAAATCTCTCAATTGTAATGATTAAACAGGATTTCTGCAAATCGGACTACTTCTGGCCAAACTATTTTATTTGTTATTGTATTTTTATTATTTACTTATTTTAATTATTTATTTTATTATTTTTATATATTTATTAATATTTTATTTATGTTATTGCATTTTAATGATTTATTTTATTACATTTTTATATATTTTTTTATTAATATTTTATTTATGTTATTGTATTTTAATTATTTACTTTAATTACATTTTTAATATATATTTATTAATATTGTATTTATGTTATTGTATTTTAATTATTTGCTCATTTGAATTATTAATTTTATTTCATTTTTTATATATATTTATTAATATTTTATTTATGTTATTGTATTTCTATTACTTATATATTTTAATTATTTTATTTAATTTTTAAATATATTTATTAATATTTTATTTATGTTATTGTATTTTAATTATTTACTTATCTAATTATTTATTTATATATATATAGTTATTAATATTTTATTTATGTATTGTATTTTAATTATTTATTTATTTTAATTATTTATTTGTATATTCATTAATATTATATTTATGATATTGTATTTTTTATTGTTATTGTGTTGTAAACTTTATTAATTTATATTTAATTAATATTTTATTTATTTAATTGTATTTTTTATTTTATTTATTTTAAGTGATTATTTAATTAATTAATTTATATTTATATATATATATATAGGTTTATTTGGATAGCACTAATGTAAGAAGTTGATCATGATACACTGTACATTATTTGTCATTTATTTATTATTATTTTATTATTTTTAATGTATGTTTTATTATTTATTTGTTTTATTAATTTTATAAATTTATATTTTTATTAATATTTTATTTATTTTACTGTGTTTTTTATTTAGTTTATTTTTTTGTTAATTAAATTTGATTTATGCTCTTGTGCAGGATGTTTAAAATTACCTAAAAATATTAAACTAAAATTATTTTTGTTGCTATATTTGTAAAATAAATGGAAAAAATATATGAATGACTTTTTAATTTTAATTATTATTATTTTATTGTTATACCCATGTGCCCAAATAACTAAAACTTACATCAATCGTAAAAACTAAATGGGCAAATCTTTTTCTAAACTAATACAACAAAAATACCAAAGCTTAAGAAGGAAAAATAATATAATTATGTTAATTATAAAAATAAAAACTAATTCTAAGAATCTATTAAACTATAAACTATTATATGTCATGCTACAGTAAAATAACCCTGTTTGTGTCTTTTTCTCTGTAGTCGCTGAAAAACAACAAATTCAGGATCCATAAATCAAGATATGATTCGATCGACAGCTACCTCTCCTGCTGTGGAGAGAAATACAACGACATCGAGCTGACCATAGATGAGGACATCAACAAACAGCTCCTTGATGCAGGTAAACACACTTCCAGAGCTCAGACTTTAACTTTCAATATTGCATTCATATTAATAATAATAATAATAATAATAATGCACAGTTTAGTTCCAACCCTGCTCCAACACACTTACCTTTAGGTTTTAAACAAGCCTGAAGGACTCAATTAGTTTGATCAGGTGTGTTTAATTAGGGTTGGAACTAAACTGTGCAGAGCTGTGGTCCTCCAGGAACTGAGCTTGACACCTGTGCCTTAGTTGCTTAGTAAACTTATTATTACCCTCATTATTATTATCAGTAGAAGTAGTTGTTGTTGTTGTTGTTTTGCTTAGCTTAGCATAGATAAGTGAATCAGATTAGACCATTAGCGTTGCTCAATTTCTTTTGTTGTTGTTTTTTGATTTGGTATCTGCTATAGTGTAAAACATTTCAGCTTTCATAGATAATTGTATCATATTAGACCATTAGCATTGCTTAATTTTCTTTAGTTGTTTTTGGTTTGGTATCTGCTGTATGTAAGAAAAAACTTAGCTTAGCTTAGCTTAGATAATTGAATCGAATTAGACCATTAGCATCACTCAATTTTCCAGTTGTTTTTGATTTGGTATCTGCTATATTGTAAAACATTTAAGCTTAGCATTGATCGTTTAATCAGATTAGACAATTAGCATCACTCAATTGTTGTTGTTGTTCTTGATTTGGTATCTGCTGTAGTGGGAACATGTCTGAAGTGGTCAGCTCAGTGTTTTCAGGCGTGCTGCTTGGCTCTGTTGCAGGCATTGACAAACTGCTGGCGCAGCACATTGCACATCTCTTCATCCGCGACCCGCTGTCGCTCTTCCAGGAGAAGATTCACTTGGATGATGAGAACGAATCGGACCACTTTGAGGTATTTCACATGCAATTAATCCAAATTCATCAACAATAGAAGAAGAAATATTAGTCAAGTGTTCTTTCCTCTCCCTCAGGTGCTTTCAAAACTTTAGGTTTTGAACACAAAAGAAGATATTTTGAAGAAAGATGAAAACCTGTAACCATTGACTTCCATAGTTTTAATAAAAACTGGAAGTCAATGGTTACCAGTTTTCTTTTTAGTGTTCAACAGAATAAATAAACTTCTAAAGGTTTGGAAACACCAGAGGGAGAGTACATTTTCATGTAAATGGTAATTTATTAGGTGAACTATCCCTTTAAACAAACATTTTAAATTCAATAAACCTTTTATGTCTACCACGTATTCATTTTCGGAGACCACACAAACTTATCTCCCATGATTACACGTATGGCTGTAAATGAAAATGTACCTGCGCCTGCCACTAGGTGGCGACAGTCATATATCGTGTGCTGGTTAAAGGCAGCTGAAAGGGATAGTTCACCTAAAAATAAAAAATCTTATGGTGAACTATCGTTTACTCAACCTTTTCTTGTTTTAAACTTTTGAGCTTCTTCTGTGGAACACAAAAGAAGATATTTTAAAATATATTAGAAACCTGTAACCATTGACTTCCATAGTATTTGTTTTTCCTACTGTGGATGTCAATGGTTACCAGTTTTCAGCTTTCTTCAAACTATCTTGTTTTATGTCCAACAGAGACTCAAAGTTTTGGAGCAGCTTGAGGAGTAAATTTTCATCTTCAAAGCCTTTACACAGATTAATCGTATTTAATAATTACAATTTTACATTTGATCATAAAATATTTTGTACCTATTACGTTTTGTTAGACTCGCCAGAAAACCGTAAAGCACTGTTTATTTCATTTCTTTCTGCTTTGTTCTATTGTATTTATCTACACTTGTAAGTTATTATATTTCATACAGATGCACTGCCCTACAAAATGATTCCAACCTATATGCAACTATGAATCATCTCCAGATTGTCCTTAAAGTCATCTGGTGAATTGTATTCCTATAATATTCAATTCAAAATGTAGTGAAATGCTTATACAATTCACCTGTTACCTTTAAAAAAATATTAATAATATCAATAAGAATCTCTACTGTGGAATATAATATGAAGAAAAATTATAGCTATAGAAAATGTATATATATATATATATATATATATATATATATGTATATATATATATATATATATATATATATATATATATATACAGAGAATTTTTACTTATAGAAAATAGTACATAATATATGTATAATATGAGGAAAGAGGAAAAGTCAAGCCCACCCACCTGTATGCAGCATACTCAGAACATATATGACAAGGGTGTGTATGAATGTCCATGGGAGTGTGCAAAAATACACAATGTGTTTGTGAAGGTGCTATGGGAAAAAACAGTATATGTATTTAAATATACTTATAGCAAAAAAAAACATTCAGAAAAACAAAATATTGCAATATACATTTTTCCTCTAGATTGTATGATCCTGTATGCACATATGAAGTGTTGTTTCTTTGGCACGTTACAGAACATTCAGTCCACCAACTGGCAGACCATGAGGTTCAAGCCCCCTCCGCCAAACTCTGAGATCGGATGGAGAGTGGAGTTCAGGCCAATGGAGGTATTAAACAAACATCTGAATGATGCACGCACATGTGGACTGACTGAGCCACTGTGAGATTAGCTGCAGTTCACTGATGTTTGCTGATGACAGAACATCAGTTCCTGTTTTAATAGCGTCGTATGTGCAGCAAACAATGCAAAGATTTCGGAAATTTGACAAAAACACATTACATTTCACTTCTTAAACTAAAACACATGCAGTGTTTATGTCGACAGCAATGTGCAGTCATGACTGAAGGGGTTATACAAATGGTGATATTCAATAATACAATATATTGTGATAATGAGTATGCACCATATTCATATTACGGGCCCTTAATTAGACTTAAAGGGGACCTATTATGCTCCTTTTAACAAGATGTAAAATAAGTCTCTGATGTCCCTAGAGTGTGTGTTTGACGTATGAGCTCAAAAATACCACACAAATAATGTTTTTTAACTCTCTTTAATTGACCCTTTTAGGCTTTGATTCTAATTGTGCTGTTTTGCTGACTGTCACTTTAAATTCAAATGAGATTGTGCTCTTTTCAAAAGAGGGCGGAGCTACAAAAGCATGTGTGCCAGCATAGAGGCAGATTCAAAATCAAGACTGGCGTCCTATGCTAATGAGGAAGAGATCGTCAGCAATGGGCGGGGCTTACCCCCTCTGATGACACGTACAATCAGAGAATGTCAATCATCAAGTCTGATTATAACAAATAAATATTTCATTATAATGGAAGTCAATGGGGCAAAAAACAAAACCAAAGGGGAGTCAATTTGAACAACACACAAAATTTAAAATGATGTTGTTCTTCCGTCTGATTGTGTTTATTTGCAGGTCCAGCTGACAGATTTCGAGAACTCTGCTTACGTGGTGTTTATCGTTCTGCTCACCCGCGTCATCCTGTCCTACAAGCTGGATTTCCTCATTCCGTTGTCGAAGGTGTGATTCGGTTCTTGATTCATGTATTTGGGTTTCATGTTCAACGTTTTGATGCACAGCAGGAGAAATAAGTCTGTGGGTGATATTACATGGCAATAATACTATGGTTTCAGCATCGACTGCAGGATTTCCAATGAGTAAAAAAAGTTATGAGTATTGATTAGCTCCACAGCTGAGAATACATGAGATTTGTTGAGTCGTTGTAAATTATAACCATAACAGAGTGAAAGTTTATCATTTATATGCATTTTCAAGGCATTTCAAGAACATTCAGTAACTTTAATGAAGAATAATTTAACTGAATTATTAACTCTATTCGACTTATTTGACTTTTTCTTTGCTCCATTGTAATATTTTTTTCTCGCAGTTTGTTTGTTATTGTTATAAAAGATTCACACCTTTACAAAATCACCTCAATCAATCTAAATTAATGATGTATTTTCAAATAGAGCCATTCACACCCTCTAGTGAAATATTATTCATATCACAATTTACTCTCACCGGCCACTTTATTAGGTACACAGTACTAGTACCGGATTGGACCACATTTTGCCTTCAGAACTGCCTTAATCCTTCATGGCATGGATTCAGCAAGGTACTGGAAATATTCCTCAGAGATTTTGCTCCATATTGACATGATAGCATCACGCAGTTGCTGCAGATTTTTTTTTTGATCTCCCGTTCCCGTCTGGCAACAACAACCACGCCAAAGTCTCTTAAATCCCCTTTCTTCCCCATTCTGATGCTCTGTTTGAACTGCAGCAGATCGTCTTGATCATGTCTACACTCCTAAATGCATTGAGCTGCTGCCATGTGATTGGCAGATTAGAAAGTTGCCTAATTCCTAGAGTACCTAATAAAGTGGCCGGCGAGTGTATATGGCAGAAACACACATTATTCCCATGTCAGATTTTTTCCAATATCGTGGATCCCTACTCTGACTATTCAGTAAAAAAAAGAGCTTTAACTATTATAAATGTCTGTTTATTTGATTCTGAAGTATTGCGTTCAACTTTTGCTTCAGGTGGATGAAAATATGAAGGTAGCCCAGAAGCGAAATGCCGTGCAGGAGGGCATGTTTTATTTCCGGAAGGATGTCTTTAAAGGTTAGTTGACTCTGCAGTGTGGAGCTCATTGCCATTCATATTATGACACGCTTTGGTGAATATTATTGTTGAACTAGTGTGGTGATGTGTGTGTGTCTGTGTGTGTCTGTGTGTGTGTGTGTGTGTGTGTGTGTGTGTGTCTGTGTGTCTGTGTGTGTCTGTGTCTGTGCGTGCGTGCGTGTGCTGGTTCTTTGCTTGTTTGAAGGCTGTACCCCAGTGCTGGATCGGCCGGGCGCAGCTCAGAATGGACTGGAGACTGAAACTAATGATGGAGAAGAGTTTATACTGATGAGCATCGACACCATCATCAATGGAAAGGTGTGTGTGTGTGTGTAAATGCAATACATGAGCGTGTACATGTGTGTGTATCTGCGTGCATGTCTGTTTGTCTCTCTGTGGATGTTTGTTTATTTATTTGTGTGTGTGTGTGTGTGTGTGTGTGTGTGTGTGTGTGTGCGCGTGTGTGTGTGTGTGTATCTGCGTGCATGTGTGTTGGTGTGTTTGTGTATCTCTGTATATGAGTGTCTGCATTCATGTGTCTCCGTGTGTCTGACTGTGTGTGTCTGCATGCGTGTGTGTCTATGTTAGTGTGTCTGTGTGTTTTTCTGCTCTATAACCTGAGCTGATGAACAGTGCTCAGCTCCTGTGTTTGTTGTGTGTTCAGGAAGGGGTTTTTCACGGGCTGATCCCCATGTTGAACAGCTATCTGGAGAACATGGAGGTGGACGTGGACACACGCTGCACAATCCTCAACTACCTGAAACTCATCAAGAAACGAGCTTCAGGTCTGCAGACACTCATCCATCTATCTATCTATCTATCTATCTATCTATCTATCTATCTATCTATCTATCTATCTATCTATCTATCTATCTATCTGTCTATCCGTCTATCCGTCTATCCATCTATCCATCTATCCATCTATCTATCTATCTATCTATCTATCTATCCATCTATCCATCTATCCATCTATCCATCTATCTATCTATCTATCTATCTATCTATCTATCTATCTATCTATCTATCTATCCATATATTCATCTATCCATCTATTTATCCATCTATCCATCCATCCATCCATCCATCCATCTATCCATCCGTCTATATCTGTCTGTCTATTCTTATATTTATCCATCCATTTATCAGTCTATACTATCTCTCCATCCATCCATCTAAGATAGCCCCGTCTGATTGGTCAAATTTAGATAAACATTCCCTCATTCAGTTCCTTAGTCCCATTCAGTCATCCTAGTCCCTTTATTCATCAGGGCTCACCACAGCGGAATGAACCGTTAACTATTCCAGCATATGTTTTACGCAGCGGATGCCCTTCCAGCTGCAACCCAGTACTGGGAAACACACATACACTCTCATTTACACTCATACACTATGGCTAATTTAGTTGATCAATTCCCATATAGCGCATGTGTTTGGACTGTGGGGGAAACCGGAGCACCCGGAGGAAACCCACGCCTACATGGGGAGAACATGCAAACTCCACACAGAAATGCCAAATTACCCAGCCAGGACTCAAACCAGCAACCTTCTTGCTGTGAGGCGACAGTGCTAATCGCTGAGCCACCGTGCCACCCTTTAGATAAACAACCAATGCATAAAATAAATGTAATGTATCACACATGTCTATTGCATCATGTACTATGATCACCATAACAATACTTTTGCGCTATATTGTACAGCCCTAGTATTCAGTCAAGTTACTTTCCAGATTAAGTCATTTAAAAAGAACTCAAATACAGTTGTAAGGATTAACGCACATAACAGGTAGTCCTGGCTGCAGAGGAAGAGGATACAGACACTTGACTGGCCTGCCTGCAGTCCTGACCTGTCTCCAATAGAGAATGTGTGGCGCATTTTGAAGTGCAACAGTGAATACCCCCTGCCCACCTTAAAACTTACTTGCCAGGAAAATGGGACAAAATTACGCCTGAAGTCCTTCATCCCTCGGCGTCTTCAGATTAAAATCATATTTATTCCTTGTTGTTTTTATTCCTCATATTGTATTTTGCACTCTTTTATTCTTGTTTATGTAAAGCTCTTTGAATCGTCACTGTGTACGAAATGCACTGTAGATAAGCCTCCTTCTGCTTCAGGTTTTTGATTAGTTTTGTTCTTGCTGTTTTTCCTCAGGTGATCTGATGACCATGGCCAAGTGGATGAGGGAGTTTGTTGCCAAACATCCTCAATATAAGCAGGACAGCGTCATTACAGACAAAATCAACTACGACCTGCTCCACAAGTGTGACAGAATCGCAAAAGGAGAAGAAAAATGTCCAGAACTGATCGGAGAACCGGTCAACAGAGGAAAATGAAGGATAATCATCGCTAATCATATCAAATCATGCGAAAGCTCCTCTGCATGAGAGCGCAAGACCAAGTTTGGGACGCAGCGGTCCAGACAAAGCAACGAAAATGGAAACGTTTTAAGAGAATATTGATTTTTTTTGAGTTGTGTTGAATTTGTAAATAGCAGATTTTTTATGACGGGCAAATTATTTTAATAGCTTAAACAGACGCAGGATGTTATTGTACCTGAACGTGTGTACATATTTCACGCCGCTCTGAGCTTGTGCGAGATTATGTAAATGTAGCAAACACTAAATTGTACATTAGTCATATTTTCAATGCCGAAATGTATATACTGTACGCCATCAGACAATAACAAGTGTACTTTCCATTTCTTTTATTTTTTATGAACGAAATTTGCTTATAGTTTTGGCATTTATTAATGAACCGAGACTGAAGACAGTGGGTTCGGTGCAGCACTGACTGATGTAGAAACTAATGCAAGATGACAGTAGAAGCCTTTTAATGGTGTGAAGTGTGTCGTGTCACTAACAGATTTACTTTCATAACTAGTGTTTTTGATGAATATGATATTAGGATATGATTTTCCACCACTAGAGGGAGCACTGGCTCTTTTTTTATGACAGAAATCTATGAAGATCGAGCATTGTTATCTGTATATGGCTTCAGATGAAGTGATTCCTGTACATATTTTCAGCTTACAGAGAGATCTTTTCTAGAGCGCTGTTGAAAATCATTTGCATTCAAGCCTTGCGATTGTTTTGAATGCTGTTTGCCTTGACTGTTTGTCTGTTCAGTAAAACTCTGCTCATTAAATCATTTAATCAGCATCAGGGTTTTGTTGATGACTGTATGGCTCAAGCCGGAGTTTACAGCGTGTCGCTTGTTTGCTTCAGTCTGCTTGCTCAACCCATCAGATGTTTTAAGTCAGCAGTTTGATTTTCTTTCATTTTTAGAGATAAAATGTAGGTCTTGATGTTTTAAATACAGTTTGGTGGGTGTTTGCTAGTTCTTCATGTTTATTACAGTCAAACGGAAATCCATCTTTAAAGTACAATAGAAGTGAGTTATATATTAATAAAAGTAAACTATAAATATATATGTTAATAAAAGTGAGTTATATGAATGTCGATAAATAGATAAATAGATGGATAGACAGATAGATAGATAGACAGACAGACAGATAGACAGACAGACAGACAGATATGTGGATGGATGGATAGATAGATAGATAGATAGATAGATAGATAGATAGATAGATAGATAGATAGATAGATGGATGGATGGATGGATGGATGGATGGATGGATAGATATGTTGATGGATGGATGGAAGGACAGACGGATGGACAGACGGATGGGTGGATGGATAGATGGACGGATAGACAGATTTCGGCTTAGTCCCTTTATTAATCTGGGGTTGCCACATCGGAATGCCCCGCCAACTTATCTAGCATATGTTTTACACATTGGAACCCTTTCCAGCTGCAACCCAGTACTGGGGAATACCCATACACACTTATTCACACACATACACTACGGCCAATTTATTTGACCCAATTCCCCTATAGTGCATGTGTTTGGACTGTGGGGGAAACTGGAGCACCCGGAGGAAACCAACATGGGGAGAACATGCAAACTCCACACAGAAATTCCAACTGACCAGCCTGGGCTCGAACCAGCGACCTTCTTACTGTGAGGTGGCAATGCACTGAGCCACCATGTCGCCCCATTCATTGACAATGTTTTGTAACTAATATATTATATAGGCCTAAAGTATAATGCACTATATATTACAGTAGGGTTTAAAAATCGCAACGTTTATTACAAGTTACTGTAGTATTTGTTTTTCATGGAGTAAACAATTCACCTCAAATTTAGATTATGGGTCAAAGTCTTTTGTATGTTTTTAAATTGTGTGTAATGAATAAAGTTTATAAATGTGACGCTGAAGTGTGTGTGTAGGGGTTTTAGCACATGATGCTACAAGTAATGGGACTTTGTATCGCCTCGTCGTAAAGAAACAGTCTGTTCTCTGACCAGATTACCTCCAGATAAATTTGATTCAACTTTATAACGTCATTCACCAAAATACCGCATACTCATTGACAAGAACTCGGCATTGAAAGCACAGCAGCTCTATAAAGGCAGTAATTTTTAACCGAACTCTCTAACTCCTGCGATAGTCTGATTCCCTTTATCACCTGCTGTCATGCGCTCTTTGATTGAACGGATCTGGTTTCACATGAGAGCAGCTCAGCGATTGGTCCTTTTTAGCTTCACATGAGAGCAGCGCTCTGATTGGTCTGTTGTAACTTCAGATGAATGGGGTGATTTACTTGAAACAGTTCACGCTTTGTAAAATGTGAACGTGCAGAACAGCTGCCGCATCGCGCTTTTATCTTAGAACGTGACATTCTAAAACGACACACTTGCGTTCTGTTGAGGAGGAATCGATACATTCGCGTTCTAAATCAACTTCAAACATGAGTACAGTTGCATGACGTCATCATAAATGTCAACAAACTGCTACATCATTAAAAGTTTGTTGCATCTCCTCAGCGCCTCCTGGTAAAAATCGAATGAGGTGTGTGTGAAGTGTTTAACGTGTCTCGGATCGATGTGTGTGTGTGTGTGTGTGTGTGTGTGTGCTCGCAGACTTTGCCCTGAGAGTCTTCAAACACGTCCCGTTATGCGCATCAGATGAAGGTGGACTACACACACTCATGACGCTCATTAGTTCAGCAGCTTCACACTCAAACACACACATCCTCCAAGGACAGGACGAAGCCCTGAGCAACACACACTCGCACACTTCTAAAGACTAAAGGTAAGATGCAGATGAATATTCTCGAATTTTGTAAACATCCTCGGATGTGTGTGGAAAGTGAAGCACGCGGGTGACCTCGAATGCGGATGATACTGTCGGGCATCATATGACTTTATCGAAGATTAGAAGCGCTCGGTGATGTCATATCCAGCCGCTCTTTACCTCTGCTTTCTGTAGAAGACTTTGCAAGACGATCCTGAAGGTCTTGAAATGCAGTTGCATTAAAGAGTTTTCATCTTATTCTGAATTGAATGTAATTCTGCTGTCATTAAACAATCATCTGGACATTGATGTTTGTGTCAGGTGATAATAATCAGCTTTTTGGGGAACCGTATGTTGGTTTCTGCGTGTATTGTCTGCATGAGTTTTGTGGATGTTTATTTATTAGCCTATTTACAACTGCATTATTAAATTATTATGCACAATATTTTCATGACATCCAGTTGACAGTTTCATATATGTTTTTATGTATGTATTTATTTGCCAATGGTAACACAATCTTATATGTTATACGAATAGGATTCAGTTTATTTCTTTTGTGTGTATGAATTTAATTAGATTTATTTTTTTATTATTTTTGATAGACATTTTCTATTTCTTTCGCTGGATTTACTTTATTATTAGCTAGAAATTTGAGCAAAAAAGTAAATTATATATATATATATATATATATATATATATATATATATATATATATATATATATATATATATATATATATATATATATATATATATATATATATAATATATATTTATATAATTTTGTAATATTTTTATATAATTTATATAACATTATATTCCAAATTTTGATAATGAGTAAAGTTGGATGTTTTCCTTCTTAAAAAACAGCATATTTTCCCAAAATATTAATTTCTCGTCTGTTCTGAAATAAAAGTTGTTGTCTAAATTGAATATTATAAACACGTCTGAAAAAAGACATCCCTAAATAACAACTTTTTTATTTTAAATATGGAAGAAATTATGTAAAAATAAACATTTTGCTCATAAAGTGTATTTTTGGAGTGAAATATACAAGTGTTTTACAGCTTTTCATCTAAATATCATTACATATATAAACATGCTAACATGCATCTTATGATATTACTAATCATTTTGACGAGAAGTACAATTTCCCTTTAGTTTCATATAACTTCCTGTATTTAAGCTGCACAATATATGGTTTCAGCATGGATATCGCAATGTGATCATTTACAATAGTCACTTCGCAGGATATGTGCAATGTTGAGTTTGTATTGTAATTTGTCATTTGCATGTGTTTTGGATTGTATAATGATTTTAAAAGTATTCTGGTATAAGAAATTGTAGCAATTGTGACCTTAACTATGATTAATTTTATTAAATAATTTAAATTTTTATCATTCAGTTACTGTACTTAAAAACTGTTAGACTCGAGAAATTATAAAGCACTTTATTTTAATTCTAACTTTTTCTTGACTATATTTATAGTTTGTTATGCATGAAAATACTCACAACACATGTAAATACAAAAATTAACTGCAAGTAGCACAGACAACAATGAAAACATGTCGGAGAACCCCTAAAAAATTATAGATTGTTTAGATTTTATGGAGATGCAAATAGTAAACATTAATTCATCAGTCTTTGACTGCACGTGTGCATTATTATGGAGTCAATTCAGGGCCAAATATACTTGCAACATTTAATTAAGTTTTGCAAATGAAAAATAAAGTACTGAGCAAAAAACTAAAAAAGGTAATAAATACATTATTTGAGAAATAAATAGGATTTTTGCAAACTAAAATTAAGAATTGTAAATAAAAATCAAAGGATGATAAAACTGCTTGATATATCCAATTGAAACAGAAGTTTACATACACTCTAAAAAAAGGAACATAACCAGTTTTTTTAAAATGTTCGGTGGTAAATCATACTCAACGTTTACTATTTTAGGTCCAATAGGATTACCTAAATGATTTACATTTGCTAAATGCCAGAATAATGAGAGAATGTTTTTTGAGATTTTTTATTAATTTCTAGACAGTCAAAAATTTAAACGCATTTCCTTAGAATTTTTTTTAGCTTTGCTTTTAAACTGTAAAACTTTGGTCAAATGTTTTGGGTATCCTTTCACAAGCTTCTCACAATAGTTTGAAGGGATTTTGGCCCATTCCTCCTGACAGAATTGGTGTAAATGAGTCAGATTTGCTTGCACAAGCTTTTTCAACTCTGCCCACAAATTTTCAATAGGATTTAGATCAGGGCTTTGTGATGGCCACTCCAAAACATTCACTCTGTTGTCCTTTAAAGCACATTTGAAGTAATTTGGCTGCATGCTTAGGGTCATGGTCTGTTTGGAAAACCCATTTGTGGCCAAGTTGTAATTTCCTGGCTGATGTCTTGAGATGTTGCTTCAGTATTTCTCCATAATGTTCTTTCTTCATGATGCCATCTATGCTGTGAAGTGGACCAGTCCCTCCTGCAGCAAACCAGCCCTACAACATGCTGCTGCCACCCCAATACTTCACAGTTGGGATGGTGTTGCTATAGGCTTGTAAGCTTTTCCCTTCATCCTCTAAATGTAACACTGCTCATTATGGCCAATCATTTCACTCTTAGCTCCATCAGAGCACAGGACATGTCTCCAAAAGTTATTGTTTCCCCAGTGTAATTCAGCAAATTGTAATCTGGCTTTCTTGTTGATTCTGCCTTGCTGATTTTCTCATTTTGTCACACAAGGAAGCAGTGTGTTTGAGCTTTTCCTTGAATACTATTCTACAGTTGAGCCTCACATTAACTCAAATGTTGTCAATTAGCCAATCAGAAACTTCCAAAACCTTCACACCATCATCTGAGCTTTTTCAGAGGCAGAATAATCTGACTGTAAGTAAACTTGACTTTCAAGAAAAGCTATAGCAATTTCTCAAAAAATCTCTCTCATTATTCTGCTATTAAGCAGAACAGAAACTAATGTGATCATCCTAACTTACCTAAAAAAGAAAAAGTTTAGTCACATTAACATCTGACTTTTTTTAATGGTTATGTGCCATTTTATACAGTGTATGTAAACTTCTGATTTTAACTGTACAAAACCTGTTTACAAGGTCAATTGCAAAGCTCATTTGATTTGATTTTCAGTCAAACATGAGTTTGTGATGCTGTTTTCAATGGAGGGAAGTCCTGCTGTACATGTCCTAGTTCCCTTGACTCCACTTCCTCATCAAATCAGTGACAGAAACATTTATTCAATAATTATAGAAAAAAAATTAGCAAATGTTTAAAAAGTTTTGTTCCACGGCTTGTTTTTATTTGTAGCTCTTTATTTTTGTCGCTAATTTTTTTTAATTAATTTTTCATTTACATTTTATTCATCAAAAGTTTTGCGCTCACATTTAAAAACATTTTTGATCAAATATATAATATGAAAATGAAATTTATTATATAATATAAAAATATTTTCAGGATTTTTCAGGATTTTAGATTATGTTGCAAGTATATAGGGCCCTGAACTGACTATACAACACATGCAAATACACAAATACACTGCAAATAGCACAGACAACAACGAAACTGTGTCAGGGAACCCCCAAAAGATGCAATGGAGATGCAAAAAGTAAACATTAATTCATCAGTCTCTTGACTAAAGATGTGCATGAAAATAAAACACATGCAAATACAGAAATGCACTGCAAATAGGACTGACGACAATGAAAATGTGTCAGGGCACCCTTAACATGTTATGGATTGTTTATTAGATTTTATGGAGACGCACTCCCACCGCAGAATCATCAAATATCGCAATGTTAAATCTTTCCAATATCATGCAGCCCTAATTTAAGCACTGATTTTAATTTGCGCCAGTGTTGACTGAAGGCAGAGACTCTGTAATAAACCCATCAGGCCTCCTCACAACTCAAACAATGTCTCATGATCATCTCACATTCTCTGTGCTGGAGACGTGTATCTGCCTTAGCACAGCGTCTTGACCCTCGCTGAACTACAAACTGCATGATGGATGATTGTCCTCGCTGTATACACCATTTTTACTGCTGTAATCAATATGTGTTCCAACAAAGATTCACAAGGTTAACTTCTATTGCCCTCTTAAACAGCTTTATTGTGTTGTAGGACTTTCCCTGACAGTCTGAATTCGCTCCGACTTGTGAAAACAGCTGAAGTAATCTTGGTGTTATTCCTCTTGAAGGTTGAAGATGGAGACGTTTAGTCACAGAGTCAACTCTTATATTGACTCCTGGATGGGACCCAGAGGTGAGACACGCGCTGCTTTCACAGAACTTTAATTGTCTTTTCTTGCTGCCTTAGCTAAAGCTATCGTTTTAGGGTTGCACCCATACACTTCTGAAAAACAAAGTTCCTTAAAGGTGAAGAAACAACAGAGGTAGCATTTTTTACAGTTGTGGCGATCAATAGATGCATTGCGAATCGAGAATTCAATCTGAGCTCAATTTTAACAGCAGACTAGAAAAGACTTCAGGCTAGAAAACTAGCCTAGAGCCCAATCTGTTGCTAAAACTAGCCTAGAGAGCCATCTACTGTTAAATATCACTACCCTAGAGTGCCATCTGCTGTAAAAGCTAACCTAGAGTGCCATCTACTGTTTAAACTAATTACCCTAGAGCGCCATCTGCTGTTAAAACTAGCCTAGAGCAACGTCTGCTGGAAAAAAATTAGCCTAGCGCGCCATCTGCTGTTAGAACTAGTCTAGAGAGCCATCTACTGTTTAAATTATATACCCTAGAGCGCCATCTGCTGTAAAAAAAAATAGCCTAGGGCGTTGTCTGCTGCTAAAACTAGCATTAATCTCTGACTGCTGTAAGAAAAACAAGCCCAGTGCACCGTGCTGTTAGAACTAGTCTAGAGAGCCATCTACTGTTAAAATTAACTACCCTAGAGCGCCATCTGCTGTTAAAACTAGCCTTGAGAGCCATCTACTGTTAAAACTAACTACCCTAGAGCGCCATCTGCTGTTAAAACTAGCCTTGAGAGCCATCTACTGTTAAAACTAACTACCCTAGAGCGCCATCTGCTGTTAAAACTAGCTTGGAGCGCCATCTACTGTTAAAAATAACTACTCTTGAGTGATATGTGCTGTAAAAAAAAAAAAAAAAAGCCCATGGCGCCGTCTGCTGTTAAAAATAGCATTGAACACTGACTGCTTATAAAACTAGCCAAGAGCGATGTCTGTTGTTAAAAGTAGCCTAGAGCACCATCTACTGTTAAAACTATGCTAGAGCGCCGTCTGCTGTTAAAACTAGCCCAGAGCGATGTCTACTGTTAAAACTAGCCCAGAGCGCCGTCTGCTGTTAAAACTAGCCCAGAGCGCCATCTGCTGTTAAAACTAGCCCAGAACGCTGTCTACTGTTAAAACTAGCCCAGAGCACCGTCTGCTGTTAAAACTAGTCCAGAGCGCCGTCTGCTGTTAAAACTAGCCCAGAGCACTGTCTGCTGTTAAAACTAGCATAGAGCGCCATCTACTGTTAAAACTAGCCTAGAGCGCCGTCTGCTGTTAAAACTAGCCTAGAGCGCCCTCTGCTGTTAAAACTAACTACCCTACAGTGCTGTCTGCTGTTAAAATAAGTCTAAAGAGCCATCTACTGTTAAAGCTTACAACACTAGAGCGCCATCTGCTGTTAAAACTAGCCTAGAGCACCATCTACTTTTAAAAACTGACTACCTTAGAGCGCCATCTGCTGTTAAAACTCATTCATGCTTTTACTTTTTTTTTGTTTATGATTTTGAATGGGAAGGCATGGTGGCTCAGTGGTTAGCACTGTCGCCTCATAGCAAGAAGGTTGCTGGTTTGAGTCCCGGCTGGGTCAGTTGGCATTTCTGTGCGGAGTTTGCATGTTCTCCCCGTGTTGGTGTGGGTTTCCTCCGGGTGCTCCGGTTTCCACCACAGTCCAAACACATGCGCTATAGGGGAATTGAATAAACTAAATTGGCCGTAGTGTATGTATGTGAATGTGAGTGTGTATGGCTGTTTCCCAGTACTGGGTTGCAGCTGGAAGGTCATTCGCTGTGTAAAACTAGATAAGTTGGCGGTTCATTCCGCTTTGGCGACCCCTGATGAATAAAGGGACAAAGCCAAAAGAAAATGGATGAATGAAAGATTTTGAATTGCATTATGGGAGCTTGATCTTTCTTCCAACAAAGTTTAACCTTGTTTTAATAGTTTAAAGTGATACATTGTCTTGGCATGATAATAGCTTTTCTGTGTAATTGCAGATCTCAGGGTCACAGGATGGTTTCTGCTGGACGACTACATTCCCACCTTTATCTTCACTGTCATGTACCTGCTGATTGTGTGGATGGGACCGAAATACATGAAGAACAGACAGGCGTACTCTTGCAGAGCCCTGCTGGTGCCGTATAACCTGTGTCTGACGCTGCTGTCTCTCTATATGTTCTATGAGGTGAGCTGCTCTACTCCACATGCATTCACTGTAAGATGAGATCAGCACACTTTTAAGGGCTCCACTTATGGCCTTTTTACAAGATGTCTCCAGAATGTGTCTCATCAGATCATTGGTTATCGCCTGTTGAAAATGTCAATTATTGGGTAAGAGGGAACTGTAGGCATTTTTTGCGCCTGTGCCTTTAAATGAAAATGAGCTGGTTCTCCCCACCCACTTGAAGTAGGTTTTTCACTCCGATTCATCGTCATTTCGCTTCAGAGAATGATAACCAGGGTCGAATGTAAGAGTAAACACAGCAAAAACACCGACAGGAACTCAGACAGACAGCCACAGTCACAAATACTATAGTAATATGAATAAATATATTGCTGAGTAGAGATCCAATAGAACATTTCCTGTTCAAAATAAACCCAACTTAAAATTGCGTGACTTAAGCATCCTCGTTTATAGTTGTGTACGCTATGCAGCTGTACTAAATCTAGCGGCTATAGATTATGTAATCAAAAATAATTGTTCAAAATGCTATAAAAGAATAGCACTTACTGCTTCTTGAAGTGTATTTGATCACAGAGAGTTGGACCAGATCTTTTAATCCCTGTTTCTTTGCAAATCCTGCCCTGTAACATTGATACATGGGTAATTAAGGACTGTCAATCAATATTGGTGGGCGGGGAAAATCACACTGTTAAGTCACGATGCGGTGGGCCTCAAACGCACTGGGATTTAGATCCTATTTTGACATCAGGAAATATAAAAAAGAGACTTATTGTGTTTGTATCATTTCATCATGACTGTGGACACACTATACCACACACTTTGCTTTCCAAACTGCTGCTTTTGCATCATATGTGCCCTTTAAAACTTTCAAGAGTTCACACTTAGCTGATGATTGATAATAAAGCTAGTTTGGCGTGCTGTCCAGGGAGAGAGCCCTGAGCTTATAAGACCCTCGAGCCCTGGGCTCCCTCCCGTTACAAGGTGAGAGGGGAGTTTGAGCTCAGGTAGATCTCGATGGCTCCCCCTCTTGCTTGTAGTAGCTAAGTGTCAGATATGGATGCTGAAAGGTGTACTCAGAGTTTAGCTAAAGTATTTGGATTAATTGTTTAGAGTGCTTGTTTTTGAACTGTGGGAGGAAACCGGAGGACCCGGGGAAAACCCAGGCGACCAACGAGCAAACTCCGCACAGAAATGCCGTCTGGTTTGGAAAGGAATTAAACCAGGGGCATTCTTGCTGTGAGGCAACAGCGCTAATCGCTGGCCACCGTGACGCCCGTTTGAAAGGAGGGAAAGTAGGGCTGGGTGGGGGGGTTTCTTCAAGACGAAGATATTGAGATGAGAAAAGTCTGGTTATTTATAGTCAGTTAAGGATCGTCTGATAGGATAATCAGATATTTGCTAAAGTTGGAACAGCTGTGAACAATCATAAGCACGTGATCCTCGTGAAATTTGTTTATAAATAAACTTCACTTAAAATCAGCTGTAACATGTTTAATTTCATACTGAACACACTGTAACTTTCAAAATCCAAAACTTCCTCTCAGCCCAATAAAAAAACCTCTTGAAATATTAATTGTTTGAGAAACGGCGGTGTTTACATGCTGATGCCTACTGAGCATTCAGAAACCTGCCATTTTCACTCATGGTGATGTATTATTTATTGCTAAACACCATTAAGAAAAAAAGCTGACACTGAGGGTGAACAATGGCGCGTTTGTTTCACATGCGAGAAGGCATTTCTGTGCGCCAGTAAAAGTAAACAAGCGGTCAGAAAGAGGTCAGAAATGGTAACGGAAAGCAAAAGTGTTTTGGCACTACTTTGCTAATACCTTCTTACATTCATTTACCTTCGGCTTAGTCTATGATTTATCAGAGGTCGCCACCGCGGAATGAAGCGCCAACTATTCCAGCATATGTTTTACTCAGTGGATGCCCTTCCTGCGTCAACCCTGTTCTGGAAAACATGTGTCATTCACACACACACACACACACACTCGTGAAAACCCCTATAGCGCATGTGTTTGGACTCTTGGGGAAACCGCAGCACCCGGAGGAAACCCATGCCAGCACGGGGAGAACATGCAAACTCCACACAGAAATGCCAACTGACCCAGCCCATACTCGAAAAAGTGACCTTCTTGCTTTGAGGCAACAGTGCTAACCACTAAGCCACCATGTTGCCCAACATTAAATATATATATATATATATATATATATATATATATATATATATTAAACTTATGTCTGATTCTCATATCTTGTACTAAAATATCTTAAACAAAACAGGTAAATTACGCTAAATTAAATTAATTATTTATTACTATTTTATTAAAACATTAAAAAAACATGCCAGAATCTAATTATATTTAAAATTAGATATAATAAAATAGATAAATAATTCTATTTAAGAATAATGAATGAAAGTAAAAATTATGACTTTTAATGTTTCAAATAACTTCTAAAACAAAACGTCTAAGTAAAAATGAATTAACACGTGTAATCTGACCTGTATTTATTCAATCATATTAAAGAACATGTCATCAGACTAAATGTCATTATATTTGAAGTAATTAAAAAGGTCTTGCGGACAAACGTGTTAAACCTTATTTGAAGGATGGTGAAAAAGCGTAAGGATTTATATAAAATGTGATTTTAAATGTCTTAAATATGTATGTCTTAAATATGTCTAACAAGATTATACATATACAGTTGAAGTGAATTATTCACCCTCATGTAAATTGTCTTTCCTGTTCAAATATTTCCCAAATGATATTGAACAGATTTATGAATCTTTCACAGTATTTCCTATAATATTTGTTCTTCCGGAGAAAGTCTTATTTATTTTATTCTGGCTAGAATAACAGCAGTTTTTAATATTTTAAAACCATTTTAAGGTCAATATTATTAGCCCCCTTAAGACATATTTGTATTCAATTGTCTACAGAACAAACCACTGTTATACAATGACTTGCCTAAACATGACTGTAATTCATAGTTAAAATGTGTAATTATTTAAATCCCATTCAATTTAATACAATACTGACTTGCTCTGTCTCATCTATTTTTCAAATGTCTTCCTACACCCCAGAAAGCGTGTGTTTCGCAATCTAGATGTTTGAATATGTCGGAGACCTTTGAATTTGCTGATGAAGTGACATGTACTTTGACACTGATGGTTTGATTTTTGGAAACTGAGCTGAGTGATGAGTCACACAGTCCATCAGCACCTTATAGTCCAGAGTCCATCATTGCATCATTTTCCCTCCACGCTATCTGCATTGCAAAACTCACACATTGCTTGTCTTTAAAAATACAATTAACACTTAATTCAGGATAAGCACAAAGATATGTGGGGTACAAGTTACCTTTGATCACAGCCATCAGTTACATTAAGCCTGATTTACTTCATGTTGTCATTTATTTATCTACCTTCATGTCGGTCCAACCTCATAAGACTTTCCTTCATCTTTAAAACACAAATGGGAAAATAAACTATATGTTGGAAACACATTACAATAAGGACTATTTTGTTAGCATTAGCTTGAAATAGGCAGATTTACACTACCTGACCAAAGTGTTGTCGTGGATCTCAGTTGTAAGAGCAACAAATAATAACTTGACTTCTAGTTGAGCATTTGGAAAAGTGGCAGAAGGTCAGATGAATCCTCTGTTGATCTGCATCCCAATCATCATAAATACTACAGAAGACCTACTGGAATGCACATGGAGCCAAGATTCTCACAGAAATCAGTCAAGTTTGGTGAAGGAGAAATCATGGTTTGGGGTTACATTCAGTATGGGGGTGTGCGAGAGATCTGCAGAGTGGATGATCAACATCAACAGCCTGAGGTATCAAGACATTCGTGCTGCCCATTACATTACAAACCACAGGAGAGGGACAATTCTCCAGCAGGATAGCGCTCCTTCTCATACTTCAGCCTCCACATCAAAGCTCCTGAAAGCAGAGAAGGTCAAGATGCTCCAGGATTGGCCAGCCCAGTCACCAGAGATAAACATTATTGAGCATGTCTGAGGTAAGATGAAGGAGGAGGCGTTGAAGATGAATCCAGAGAATCTTGATGAACTTGAATAGGCGACAGGACTTTTGTCAGGTAGTGTACATTAAATTGAGCAAACATGAATGAGAAGGAAGTAATTGGAAGTTATGCTAGTTTTTATAACATGATCTTCTTCTCAAACAAAAACCAATATAGGGCAGGACTGGATTTGGCCGGTGTGAGGATTTGGTTGGTTGTTTAGGGTTTGCTATTGGTGGATCTTATATTTGAACACCAATCAGAGAAGAGATTAATAAATAATGCAGTAGCCAAAGCTAACGAATTAGACCGTTGTGTGAAGTATTACCAAAATTGCATAGGTTTGGAACAACATGAAGGTAAAAAATTTAGATTTTTATTTTTTACCCTGCTGAAAAAACCTGCTCAAACCAGCCTATGCTGGTTGGCTGGTTGACCAGCCTGGTTTTAGAGGGGTTTTGGCCACTTCCAGGCTGGTTTCCATTCATTTTCAGCCTGGTCTTAGCTGGTCAGGCTGCAAAATGACCAGGTAAAACCAGCTTGACCTGCCTGGTTTAAGCTGGACATAGCTGGTTTTGGCTGGACTCCCAGCCTGGCTAGGCCAGTCAAGCTGGTTTTAGCTGGTCATCTCCCAGCCAGACCAGCTAAGACCAGGCTGGAAATGCCTGGAAACCAGTCTGGAAATGGCCAAAATCCCTCCTAAAACCAGCTTGGTTGACCAGCTGAAACCAGCCTAGGCTGCTTTAAGCTGTATTTTGTTCAGTAGGGTATAGATTTAGCTATACATTTAAGTGACTAGACATGGAGGACAAGAAATGGAAATTTTAAGAAGTTATGCTAGTCCTTTTTTTCCCTTACATAATAACATAGATCTGCTTCTCAAACAAGAACACATGGCTGTGTCTGGATTTGGCTAGAGTGAGGATTTCATTGGATACTTGTAACCAAGGTATTCCCGCCGGTCCTACGCCACCCAACCCGCTCCAAGCTGGAATCGAACCGGCAGCCTTCCACATGGGAGTCGGTTGCTCTACCAAGACCATGGCCTCTCGCATCTGTTGCTAGACCATCTTTAGACGTCAGAGGAGTTAGGTTTATCTGCACAGTACTTACTAGCTGGCCTTCGTTACATCAACACAGGCTCATTGTGAAAACGTACCCCCATATACATTCTGGAGAGCATGAATTATGTAGCCAGAGCTACATATGGCATTTCAGCTTTAAAACGAATGCTATGGGGCAGTATGACGCCGCCTACAGCTTTTCTCTTTGTGCTACCAGCTGACCACAAAAATCAGGTTGCCACGAGGGCTTTTCTTCTTCTGGATTGCTTTTGAAAACACTGTCGGTTGGGTTTAGGGAAGGGGTTGGTGGTTAAGTCGGTTAGTCAGTCGATAGCGGATTTACACAAACACAGCAGGCGTGAATGACACTCGCAAGAGAAATTTGAGATCTGAAAAGGCATACACAGCGGCCTCTGGTGGATTCACGAAAACAAAAACTGCAAAAACTGCAAAAAAAAAAAGTACCTCCTGGGACTAATTTTGTTCTGTTCAGAGATGTATATAGGGGTACATATCAATAATGAGCTTGGGTTAATGGTTGTGGTTTGCTATTGGTGGATCTCATATGAGTTACAGGTTGATCCCGCCCTCACTCCTGTAAACACCAATCAGAGAAAAGAAGCCAATTTCAGGAAAGTTTAGTGAAAGTTTTGGAGGGCATGTGAATATAAAACAGTAAAGATGTGCACAGATAAAAACCTTCTAAAAATAATCCTTTTGATTTTCATGCTGACTATAACTGTCCGTTCATTTAATGCAGTTTGTCCTGCTTTAACTAGGGTCATGGGAGTGCTATTACTGAGAAATTAGCTGGGTCAGAAAGCGAGATGTTTCCAACGAGAGGACTTTAGAGCGAGGCAGTGGTGTGTGTCGCTCTGTGACAGTCTCTCTAACGGCAAAATCAACCCACTGACCCTGAGAAGCTCCATCAGGCCAAAGCAATTATGGCTAAATTCAGAGAGCCGAGCGACTCTTTATGTCACTCGAAAGTCCTTTTAAAGAGGCTGTTTAAATGGAGGTGAAAACCACCGTCACCTGTAACATGAGGTCAGGAACGAACCAGTCGGATTTATGTATAGCGGACAGATGTGCAGCTTTCATTCTGCAATCAATAAATCTCAAACAAGGGCTTAATTCAGAAACAGACAATGAACAATGATGGATTACAGGAGATTTTTTTCCCTGGAGGTCTGAGGAGTGTTTGGGGAGAGGTGAGAACGAGGAAGATGGTGAAAAATGAAGCACTTTTATCCACTTTCTGATCAAGTCAGCAGTAAAATCTCTCCATGCATCAGCCGTACACCTGCAAACCTCTGCAGCTGCTCCTACTGCATTCAGCCTCAGTGATCAGCAAACAAAACTCGATAAACCTACTGGAAAATACAACAGATTCAGAGAGGATTTACATTAGAGGACGATTAAGGGTTGGTTAAGGTTGGGTACAGGTTTATTGACACTTTTAATCTTGTGGGTTGGTTACAGTTAAACAGGTTTAGCGAGCTTGAGAGTCTGTAAAGGTACAGGTTTAGGAGCATCTTTATAGTAGTGGGTTGGTTTGGGAGTAACAAAGCTTTATTTGTTTAAGGTTAGGCTCAGATTTATTGCATGTTTAGGGATGTAGGTTGGTTAAAGTTAGGAACAGTGTTTGTAGGTTTAAGGGTTAGTTAAGGTTAAACAGGTTTGGTGTGTTTAAGAGTTGGTGAAGGTATGTTTTAATAGCATCTTTATAGTAGTGGGTTGGTTAAGGATAAACAAAGTTTTAGTAGGTGTAAGAGTTGGTTAAGGTTGAGCACTGGTTTAGTGGCATCTTTAGAGTTGCAGGTTGGTTAAGAAGAAAAGAGATTTAATACAATTTTTAGGTTTAAGGTTTGGTAAAGGTTAGGCACATATTTAGTGCATCTTTAAGGTTGTAGTTTGGGCAAGATTAGGCATAAATTTGGTGGATCTTTAGAGTTATAGTTTGGTTAAGATTAGGTTTAGATTTTGTGCATCTTTAAGATTGTATTTTGGTTAAGGTCAGGCAAAGATTTAGTGCATTTTTAAGGATGTAGGTTATTTAAGGTTAGGTGCAGATTTAGTGCATCTTTAGGGTTGTAGGTTGGGTAAGATTAGGCACAAATTTGGTGGATCTTTAGAGAGTTATAGTTTGGTTAAGATTAGGTTTAGATTTTGTGTATCTTTAAAATTGTATTTTGGTTAAAATTAGGCAAAGATTTAGTCCATCTTTAAGGATGTAGGTTAGTTAAGGTTAGGCACAGATTTAGTGCATCTTTAAGGTTGTCGGTTGGTTAGGGTTAGGTGCAGATTTAGAGGATCTTTCTGGTTGTAAGTTGGTTAAGGTGAGACACAGATTTAGCGTGGGGCAGCACGGTGGCGCAGTGGGTAGCACAATCACCTCACAGCAAGAAGGTCACTCGTTCGAGCCCCAGCTGGGTCAGGTTGGGCATTTCTGTGTGGAGTTTGCATGTTCACGTGGGTTTCCTCTGGGTGCTCTGGTTTCCCCCACAAGTGCAAAAACTTGTGGTACAGGTGAATTGGGTAAGCTAAATTGTCCGTAGGGTATGTGTGTGAATAAGAGTGTATGGATGTTTCCCAATGATGGGTTGCAGCTGGAAGGGTTGGTTAAGGATTGTAGGTTTTAAGGGTTGGGCACAGGTTTAATGCCATCTTTATGGTAGTGGATTGGTTAAGGATAGACACAGGTTTCATGGGTTTCTAAGTTCATTTTTAGGGTAGTTAGGGTTTTAGTTGATTACGGATAAACAAGTGTAGTGGCACCATTAGATATAGGGTCGGTTAAGGTTAGGGATTTTGTGGTATTTTTGGGGGTTATGGTTGGTTAAGGTAAGGTACAGGTTTAGGGGCATATAGAGTTGTGGGTTGGTCACAGTTAAACAGGTTTAGTAGGTTTAAGCGTAGGTTAATTTCAGGCAAATCTTTAGTGGCATCTTTATAGTTCAGGTTGTTTAAGGTTGGATACAGGTTTAATCGTACCATTAGGTTTAAGTAGGGGTGTAACGATTTATCGTGGTACGATTTATTGCGATGCAAAAATGTCACAACATGCATCGTGGCGTTGTGACGATTTGATTACGATATGACGTGATTTTCTCTTATTAGTTGAGCTGTTTGCACGTGAGCTACGTTCCACCTGCTGTCGCACGTGAGTTCAGATTGCAGCAGCAGTAATGTTAGCAGACCAAGATGAGTGGAGTTGAAATAAAGGATGGCCCATCCTCTCATAATCAGACGTCTGGCAACATTTCGGTTGTACAGTCTTTGCTTTAGACTCGTCCGCTTTTTGACACGCATACTGGGTCAAACATTCTAAGTTTTAAAGTCTTCACAGTGATTTACATACTTTGCACAGCGACATGGATACCTCCTAATGGTGTTGAAAGAGTCACACACTGTATTTATAAGGTACAATTTACCCTAAAATATCATTCTGTCTTCATATAATGTTCCCGCCGCAAAATCACACATGACGTGAGCTGACCGTGAGCTGTTACTACAGAGGGCAGACTTTGATAGACGCGCGCGTATGGCAAGCCGTTTTAGCATTTAAATCTTTGTTCTGACTGTCCATAAATATATTTAGAGATATCTCTAATTATATTTTGACTAGTCATAATTATAATTCGACTAGTCAGAATGACAATTAGAGATATCTGCAATTACAATTGTACTAGTACGAAATCAGATTGGAGATATCTGCAAATATATTATGACTAGTCATATTCCTCCATTGACTTCCATTGAAAAATATTTGCAGATATCTCTAAATGAGTTTTGACTAGTCACATTTGTAATTAGAGATATCTCTAAATGAATTTAATTAAATATGAATTAAATACCTGGAAATGTGGATTTTTTTTTGCACACACAAAAAACGCAAGTGACCAAGCAAAGCCTTAAGCTCTTACTGTTAAATTCAATTGAATAGAAAGCTTTTTTTTCTTTCACCTTTACTTAAATTGTTCCTTAATTTTGTCTCTGTCATTTCAATAATATTTTTAAGAAGTTTTTAAATTGTTTTATTTTCCAGAGACAGGCCTGTTTAATTTATTTTCTTAAAGAAGGTTCAGTTTAACAAGTTGAAACAAAAGAAATACATAAAAAATTGTTTACTTGGTAAAATTTGCATTTCAGTTTACTTTTCAATTTTTATTCCAAATATGGTGATACATATCGAATCGTGAACATTATATCGTGATACACATCATATCGTGAGCTGAGTGTATCGTTACACCCCTAGGTTTAAGCGTTGGTAAATGTTACTGTTTTAGTGGTATGTTTACTGGCACGTGAACAATTATTCTTTCTGTTCTTCTCTCTCTACAGCTGGTCATGTCTGTGTATCAAGGTGGGTACAACTTCTTCTGCCAGAACACCCACAGTGGAGGAGACGCCGACAACAGGGTAAAACAACAAACTGAGTTTTCCACTGAATGAGACTTGAACATTCTAAGTCTCAGCTTAACCCTTTTATCACAATCCCCGGAAAAGACACAATATTCCCTGCTGGGCTCTTACATAAGTGTCCTGTTGACCCGGCTGCTCTGACACGAGTATTCAGAGGACACATAACACAGCAGAGGTTGCCTTAGACTTCTAATATTGCATTTTTGTAATATACGTGATGAAATGATTTCTTGCATGTGCTTATGCTGTCCTCAGATGATGAATGTCCTGTGGTGGTATTACTTCTCCAAGCTCATCGAGTTCATGGACACCTTCTTCTTCATCCTGAGGAAAAACAACCACCAGATCACGTTCCTGCACGTGTATCATCACGCCACCATGCTCAACATCTGGTGGTTCGTCATGAACTGGGTGCCGTGTGGACACTGTGAGTCTGAAGGAGCTTATGGTGCAGTTTAAATGCTGAATTATTCAGACGCGGAAAAAACAAAACAGAACAGAGGAAAAAAAACAATGCTGGTCCAGATGATCTTTAAATAACTGCATGCATCATGTAACCTGGTATTTAAAGCGGTTCAGTCGATCTCTGGAAACAACAGATCCATTTACGTCTTAGAATAGATGTGCTTACTGGTTATTGATTAATGTGCTGGATATTTAGACCAAGAATGCAGCATCCAGGCTAACAATTGACAGAATCTGCTGTATTCGCCAAAGTGTACACAAGATCAGTTGTTTTGTGCTTTGCTACATGCAACAAAAAAGTATACACAAGCTAGGAGAGCACAATATATGGAAATATAGCATATGCAACATACATATGCATTGCAGAAATGTCCTAAATTTCAATACCTAAACCCAACTACTACCTTGCTAACTATTGATAAGCAGCCAATTAGCAGTTTATTAAGCTAAAACTCTTAGTTAATAGTATGTTAATAGCATGAATTGTACATTAAAACAAAGCATGACTGTATTATCACTTAGAAATGCATGTTTGAGAGTGCTGTATCTTCAGCTGAGAGGATCTGGCGCCCATTGTTCTCCAGTGTGCTGCTATTAATTGTGACTGACTGTATTTGAAACTATGCACTAATACAGATTTTGCTTTTCTCTTTATCAGCGTATTTTGGTGCAACCTTTAACAGCTTCATCCATGTGCTGATGTACTCGTATTACGGCCTGTCTGCGGTTCCAGCTTTGCGGCCGTATCTGTGGTGGAAGAAGTACATCACTCAAGGACAGCTGGTAAGGAAAAGCAGCGAGTGTATGATGGGCTCTAAATGTGTAAATAAAGATAGCACAAATCTGAGAAAACTAGTCGCTTAGGACCTGTTTTGTGGTCCAGGTTCACATATGGTAACTCCTGTTTTCTGTTTAATAGTCTAATATGATATGAAGCTCATCTAGTCACACTTTATAAAAAAGGGAAACATAGATTGAGCTTTTCAGGAAGTATTGAGTGAATGTGTTTGACCGTTGTTCGAATTGAGGAAGGTTTTTACTTCCTCTAATGCAGCGGTTCAGACAGAAGGGAACTGACGGGGGTTTGTTTACCGCTTCAGCACATGATTTCAATGGAAACCTTGGCTTGGTTTCTTCATAACTGATCCTAATGTTTCATAAATTCAGAGGTTTATCTAGGATCTCTCAGAGCACAGAAACCAGTGTCTGAATGTTTTTAAGTAGGCGCTTCAGGATTGGCCAGCCCAGTCATCAGACATGAACATTATTGAGCATGTCTGGGGTAAGATGAAGGAGGAAGCATTGAAGATGAACACAAAAGCCCCTTTCACACAGTAATACCGGTAAATATCTGGAAGATTTCCGGAACGACTTTACCGGTATTATATTCAAAAAAGCGCTGTTCACACAGGCGAGGACGTTACGGAAATTTTCCGGAAAAGAGCATTCACACATCCATTCCAAAATACCGGTAAATTCTGACATCATTCACCACAAATGAGCTTTAAACGGCTGCGCTTGTGTTTGTAAACATTTGACTAAATTACAAACTCTGTGGATGATCAATATTGTGAACAGCTTTCGCAGGATCACTTTCTCATGTCAAGATGTTTATATGTGCGTGTGCAGGCGCTCACAGGCTGTTTCACAGGCACACGCAAAGCTTGAAGGTAAACAGCGGCTTATCATAAGCATCTCATCGATGATTATTTACACAGTTGGCATTAAGAAGAACATATAAACGTGATCTGACTAACTTCTAGCAGCTAAATGTGTCTGGAAAAATATTCAAAGGCTTTTATCCTCACAAACCGCGCGGACGTAAATGCGTCTGACTGTTGTGATTGGCTAAAGCAGACGTCTCACGTCAGCACGTTCTAGACGTGCACGCGCTTATTACGGCAATCTTCCTTCTGCATTCTAACAGCGCAGCATTCCGGCAAATTACCGGTAATGTTACAACTTCTCTTTCCAGAAAATAGCCAGAACGAATTTACTGGTATTTTCAAAAAGGACCTGTTCACACATACTGCCGGCAATTTTCCGGAAAGGTCTGTATGTGTGAAAGGGGCTAAAGACTCTTGATGAACTCTGGGAGTCCTGCAGGAAGGCCTTCTTTGCCATTCCAGATGACTTTATTAATCAGTGATGTGAGTCATGTCAGAGATGTATGGATGCAGTCCTCCAAGCTCATGATGGAGTCAGACACAATATTCATTCTGTCTCCACTGCAGCAGGACTTTATATTCTAAACTGGACATTATTTCTGTTCAGTGATGAAACTTTAGTCTAACCAAAGTCAGACCTTACTGTCCTAATTAAATCATTAATAATCAAGACATGATCATTTTTCATTTTGGTAAAATAAGCGTTATCTTGAGACCTTTGCCTTTCATAGAAGCCACTTCTGATACCAAATGATCAACTAGAAGTCAAGTTATTATTTGCTGCTCCTAAAACATGGATAGGTGACAAGACGTTTGTGTGTAGGGTACATTATACTACAATGCACCACAGTTACAAAATGGATCCATTCAAAGCGAGTCTCCAGTAGATAATTCACTCATTCAAGTGAACAATTCACAGTAAAATAGGTTTATTTTACAGCTCCCCTTGTGAGTTTTTTCCCCTTTTTATCTATTCAGATCCCTGTGTCAGGCGGAAACACTTTTAGCTTATCTTACACTCTCAGAAATAAAGGTAAAGGAGCTGTCTCTGGGGCAGTACCTTTTCAAAAGGTACATATTTGTACCTGAAGGGTCCATAACGGTACCTCAAAGGTACTTTTTAGGTACATTTTGGGTATAAGTAAGCACCTTTGAGGTACTATTTTGGACTCTTTGAGTGCAAATATGTATCTTTTGATAAGGTACTGCCCTAGTGACAGCTCCTGTTACTTTATTTCTGAGAGTGTAGCTTAGCATAAATCATTGTATTGTAAAAGAGTTTATTTCAATTGCTTATGCTTTGCAATTTATGGGATCTTAAGTAGTTTAGAGTTTTTAAATAATTTACTGACTTAATGTTACTTATTTCCAGATTAATTTAAATACATATTTAGTAAACAGTTATGAATTACGTTTTTGAAGTAACTGATTCAACAATGATCAATAGCACGTCAACAAAAGCTGTTTTCTTTCAGGTCCAGTTTGTCCTGACCATGTTCCAGACGTCTTGTGCTGTGGTTTGGCCGTGTGGTTTCCCAATGGGCTGGCTGTATTTCCAAATCTCTTACATGGTCACGCTCATCCTGCTCTTCTCAAACTTCTACATTCAGGTAAACGAATTCTCACTTCAGCAGTGGTGGACAGTAATACGGGTTTTTACTACACTACTGTACTTAAATACATGTATCTGTACTTTATCAGAGTATTTCTATTTTCTACTACTTTAGACTTTTACTTCACTACAATCCAAAAGCAAAGTATCGTACGTTTGATTTCACAATAATTCCTGAATGTAGAAAAGTTAGTGAACAAACTATACTTCATCAATTAACCTGTTAAATCAGTTCACAAACTGAAATGAACAATTAATGATCCATTCAGAGTGAGTCTCCAGTAAATGATTCACTGAATCAAATGATCCATTCAGCGTGAGTTTTAAGGAAATAATTAACTGGTTAAAATGATCCATTTAGAGTGAGCCTCAAGTAAATGATTCACTGATTTAAATGTTTAGTTCTTCAGTAAACAACTCACAGATTCAATTAATATATATTCAGCGTGAGTTTCCAGCAAATGATTCACTGGTTAAAACTATCCGTTCAGAGTGAGTCCCCAGTAAATGATTCACTGATTCAAATAATCCATTCAGAGAGAGCCTCCAGTATATGAATTACAGATTCAAATGAATCAGTCACCATATCCAGTAAACTATTCACTAAATCAAATTATTTTTCAGAGTGAGTCTTTAGTAAACGACTCACAGATTCAAATGAAACATTCAGAGTATCTAATAAATAATTCACTGATTCAGATGTTCAGTTCTGAGTGAGCCTTTAGTAAACAACTCACAGATTCAAACGATCCATTCAATGTGAGTTTTCTAGTGAATGATTCACTGGTCAAAACTATTTGTTCGGAGTAAGTCTCCAGTAAATAATTTACTGATTCAAACGATCCATTCAGAGAGAGCCACCAGTAAACAACTCACAGATTCAAATGAATCAGTCAGACTGAGTCTCCAGTAAATAATTCACTGATTCAAATAATCCATTCAGAGAGAGCCTCCAGTATATGAATTACAGATTCAAATGAATCAGTCACAGTATCCAGTAAATTATTCACTGATTCAGATGTTCAGTTCTAAGTAAGCCTTCAGTAAACGACTCACAGATTCAAATTATCCATTCAGAGTATCCAATAAATAATTCACTGATTCAGATGTTCAGTTCTGAGTGAGCCTTTAGTAAACAACTCACAGATTCAAACGATCCATTCAATGTGAGTTTTCTAGTGAATGATTCACTGGTCAAAACTATTCGTTCAGAGTAAGTCTCCAGTAAATAATTCACTGATTCAAACGATCCATTCAGAGAGAGCCTCCAGTAAACAACTCACAGATTCAAATGAATTAGTCAGAGTAACCAGTAAATTATTTACTGATTCAATTGATTCATTCAGAGTGAGTCTCCAGTAAACAACTCACATATTCAAATGATTCATTCAAAGTAAGCCTTCAGTAAACGACTCACAGAATCAAATGAGCATTCAGAGTGAGTCTCCAGTAAACGATTCACTAACTTAGTAAATTTGGCTAATTATTATTATTTTTATTAAATAAAACTTCCATCATTAAGTACTTCTATTAATGAAGTTAATTAAAAACCAAGTGTTTTGTTCGTTGAATAAATAAATATTAAATATAAAGACTTATACTGTATATTTTACAATAAACAATACAGTATACTTTATTTACGGTTCTTTTACTGAAGTGCCTTATGTTGTCCCCCACTGCATTTCAGCATGAAGAATATTCATTTACACAATAAAAGCATGCTCAAAATGTTCACCTTTGCTCCACAGACCTATAAGAAACGTTCGGGATCCAGGAAAAGCGATTACCCCAATGGATCAGTAAACGGCCACACTAATGGAGTGATGTCCAGCGAGAAGATTAAACACAGAAAAGCACGAGCAGATTGATGGCAGTTCATCCATTATTGATACGCACACATTAGATCCATGTCCACTGACCACGCTAAAAACATTTCATATTTCCGAGAGAGAGAGACTCCTTACACGTTTGCACACTGCAACCTCATTTTATTCATATTGAATCCAAAACAAAGTGCATAAGAGAGCTACGATTAGAGTCCAGGTTAGCTTACATCTAGAATGCAGAGTTGAAGCCAAAATGATTCGCCCTCCTGTGAATTTTATTTCCTTTTTCAAATGTTTCTCAAACGATGTTGAACAGATTCAGGAATTTTTTTACAGTATTTCCTATAATATTTGTTCTTCTGGAGAAAGTCTTATTTGTTTTATTTCGGCTAGAAGGAAAGCAGTTTTTAATTATTTTAAACCCATTTTAAGGTCAATATTATTCGCCCCCTTAAGCAGTATTTGTTTTGGATTGCCTTCAAAACAAACCACTGTTATACAATGACTTGCCTAATTACCATAACTTTACCCTAATTCGTTTAAATGTCACTTTAAAGGGTCATGACACCTCCCACTTTCGGTTCGAATCTACTTCAGAATATTTTTCAAAAGATGCATGATAATTGGGGGTGGAGCTCCGCAAGCAAAGGACAGGAATGGGCGTGGCCAGCAGAGCAGGGGAGAAGCAGGGGAGTGAAAAACTGTTGTCAGTCGGCTCACAAAATGAGACACAAACCGTGAGGAGACGCATGAGTTTATAGTTTACAAAGTTAAAATGCAAAGAAATAAACAGTGATTTAATGCCAGGGTTCAACGCTAACGCCCCATTCACACGAGGCTTCAGCGTCAACGCTTGACTGAAGGCGTGTCTGAAGTTGGGGCTGAAGCGATCGTCATAAAGTGTCAGCCAATGAAATTCAGTCAGCAATAGGCCACTGTCTGAGCTGGTGTATTTGCATACAGCGATCTGATTGGCTGACGCTTCTGTTGGCGATTGAAAAGTTGAGCTAGTCCCAACTTCTGCAGCGAGCAACGCCTCTGAAGCGGCGCTGATGGATCCACAATGCAGTTCGGCAACGCCTGACGTCACCCATTCAAAGTGAATGGGAAGCGTTGACGCTGACGCCCCGTGTGAATGGGGCGTAAGGATTTTTTCTACTGGTCCAATCGGGCCAATGGTTCAGATTTTTACTTGCCCTGCCAAAATTTTCACTGGCCCCATTAAAAAATAAAAAAGACAAGTTAATACTTATTTTTTAGCCACATATTTTAAATAATGTGTCAAAAATAACTTCTGTGAATCTAGAATTTAATAAATGTAAATGTATGAGCACAATTCAGAGCTATGCAAACAAAAATTGCATAATGGGAAATGTGGAGGTATTTTATTGCAGTTCGAAATTATTTAACAACAGATGGCTGACTGGAAAATTGTGCAAAAAATAAAATAAAATAAAAATAATAATCACCATTTTTTTCGTTGTGTTGTCATGTAAATGTCTGCTTCCAAGACGTTATAAACAGACATTTTACTTTAGACTTTTAATTTGATATTGCTGCCATGTTGCCGTCTCTTCGCTGTACTGGTTGTTACCAGGATACAGAAAAAATAGCATGCTCAAAACATCAAATTAGATAGGAGGATCCGAAAAGCAATCGACATCAGAGAAGGTAGCATTTTAAGACTAAAAAGCTGAAGCTTAAAATGCACACAATTGACAAATAGTCGCAGGCAAGTTAAACTTTAGTGACAAGGCAGCACTTTCTCAATCGGGCCAGTAATAATCCTGTCTACTGTCCCAAGCATCTTTCACACTGGCCCCGGGCCATAGGGCAGTCCTTATTGAGCCCTGAATGCCCTGCTACATTTGTTATTCGTAATTTCATATACACACAACCACAATTTGTTATATCATTATAAAGATAATCTTGTTGATATAAACACTAAATGAGGACTTCTCCCTCAATCGCCGGGTCTGAATGCAGCAGGTCTCTTGCCCTGTCTATTTCAACCATTAGCCCTGCTGGTATTCTGAAGGATTTAGGCGAACACAACAGCACGGCGATGTCTAAATGTGAACGAACTCCACTGATAAAGGACAAAGTCTGCCATTTCCGCCATACTCGTACTGCTCTCCTGACAAAAATGCTTGCTGCACACACACAGCATTGCTGTATCGGCCCTGACAGGATCGAGGGGAAAAACATGCAACAAACCCTGTGGATCACGGAAACAAACACATACGACCCTTCATGAACGGCTATACTGTATGCCGTGGGTTTCTGGACACGGTCTCACCCAATCATCAACATAGGGTCTCACAGCTTGGCACTGGCATGTCTGTGTCTTGCCTTCGGAAAGCACGCGCAGTCATGAATAATTAAGAAGCCGGCTCTTCTCATAGGATAAGAAAACTCTGCTATGAATAATAATGGAAAACCATCTTTGCACTTGCAGTTTTGCGCTACGTCACTGTTTTTGATTCGCCCCAAAAATCAATTTAATCCCGGAAGCTGAAATTAGCTGACAAAAGCTCAGAATTATCCAGTTTTCCCCACAATTACAGCTGACAGGCGCTAACATTGTCTTAACTGATGCTCAACACACACACACATCTGTTAACATCTAAAAAAAAAAAGTACTCCAGGGTTTCTTGAATCTTTAAGCTGAATACTAGTATCTTGAAAATATCTAGTCAAATATTATTTATTGTCATCATGGCAGAGAAAATAAATCAGTTATTAGAAATGAATTATTACAACTATTATGATTAGAAATTGGGGGAAAATATGCAATAATTCAGGAGGGCTAATTAATCTGACTTCAACTGTATGTTGCTTTTCTTGAAATATTAAGACGGCTAACCTCATTACTGGACTAATTTGCACTGGTGTTTTCACTAAACATGTTTGTAGACATAATGAAGAATGTATGAGAGGAATTGACCAAACATAGCAGCGTATGTCACTTTTACAGATATGAACAGTTTCTGGTGATATGAACAGTAACAGACCAGAAAATGCGTATTAATGAGTATCACTTTACAATAAGATGTCATGGACATTCATTCATTAGTTTTCCTTCGGCTTTGTCCCTTTATTAATCTGGGGTCGCCACAGCAGAATGAACCGCCAACTTATCCAGCCAGGGGTGTAGATTTAGGGTGGACGGAATGGACGCGTCCATATTAACATTCACCGACCATTGAAATGTCCCCACCAATAATTTAATTTACTTTAAAAAAATGGCGCTGTCAACATTAGCCCAGGGTTTAATCACGTTCTCTCCTAGTCCTCCCGCCCCCAAAACACATATGGACATTTTGATTGGCTGTGCCTTTAATCCAACATATATACACAGCGGATGCCCTTCATAGACTGTAAAATATATGGACGTAGTGTCCGTGACGTCACCCATAGGTTTCTAAAGAGCGCAAAAGAAGCCACAAGTAGGCGCGGCCAACCGTCGCCATTTTGTTCGCGCGTCATCACACCCACAGCAGGATACCAAACAAGGGCAAAGAGGCGGAGAGTGGGCGGAGCTACAGAAAACTGTTGGCATTTAGCTTGGACCTGGTTCAGACACACTCTACTTTGGGACGCTTAATACTTTATCACCTGCGACTCGTTTGTGTTCTGACCACATGTGCTTGGTTGTACACTCTATCAATAAAGTGTTTAGTCTTTTAAAAACACTGCTGTAATACATTGAGCCACTAAACATTGTTCTTATGACGTTTTTCAACAGGAGGGAAACGCGAATTACTTCCAAACACTTCAGATATAGTCTGTGTTAGTTACTGTAAGACTATTGATGAAATCCAGCATAACACTGTATGACAACGCTTCAGATGACTGTTCTAGAGCCTACAGCTAATCAATCCGTCAGATTCTGGAGTGCATTACAGCTCTAAATATAAATATAAACCATAAATGATCTTAAATAAAACAAATACATGTATAGAGATGGTGTATAAGTATATAACTTTACTCACATGGGAAACGGAGGCCACGTGAATGGTTAGTGAGCACAATTAAGTGCTCTCAGCATGCCATGCCATCTAATAATTGTAGGAAACAAGTCCAAAAGGCAGTCGACTGTGTAAAGCCACATAAACAACACAGAAATACGATAAATATGCCGAGTTCAGTGGATAATCTGCAGGATTCAGCTGAGGTGACGTGACGGCGACCAACGAGACCTAGCTGTCACTCAAGTGGCCGCTCCCTTAATTATGCAAACTTAATATAACTTAATATAAAGGAAACGGATGAGTTATAAAAAAATCACCCCCCTCACAGTTGTCATGAAGGGTAATATTAGCTGTATGAACCAAAATCTTTGTTTGTACCAGGCTGTAAACACCTTTTTTTCTGCTGTAAAGTTGGCCATTCTAACAGTGGGCTCAATTGAAATTTGCTCTATTATGGAGTCAGGAGCGGCCAGGACTAGCGGAATTTCGGATGAATTGCAGTTTTAGTTACTTCCGTATTGGCTTTCTGAGGGAGAGCGGGAGGTTGCCGCTTGATGCCCTTCCAGCTGCAACCGAGTACTGGGAAAGCGTAAATGGACAATGAACATGTATATTTTCCAATGTTAAACCTTTACCAAGACTTTTTAAAAGCAGTTGTTTGAGCAGACATGAACCAACAACAGGTATTTTGATAACTAACATTAAGATAGTTATGAATAAATGGCTCAGTGGTTAGTTCTGTCGCCTTACAGCAAGAAGGTCGCTGGTTTGAGTCCCATCTAGGCCATTGTGCATTTCTGTGTGGAGTTTGCATGTTCTCCCCGTGTTGGCGTGGGTGTCCTCTGGGTGCTCTGGTTTCCCCCACAGTCCAAACACATGCGCTATAGGGGAATTGGATGAACTAAATTGTCCATAGTGTATGTGTGTGTGCGAATGTGAGTGTGTAAGGGTGTTTGCTAGTACTGGATTGCAGCTGGAAGGGCATCCGCTGTGTAAAACATATGCTGGAATAGTTGGCGGTTCATTCCACTGTGGTGACCCCTAATATGGGACTAAGCTGTAGGAAAGTGAATGAATAAATGTATTGCTCACTGTTACAGTAATATATTAACCAATGCGAACGAAACGGCTCTTATTGTCAAGTGTTACTAATTAATAGACCTTTCAGAACTGAAACGCTGACTCATTGCAGAACTGAGGGAACATTTCAAGCATTTCCCGTAATTTTCTGTAAATTGGAATGATTATTTATTGTGATAATTAGAACGAGATTATATTTTTATCCAAAATCTCATGATTATTTTAGATCTGAGCCAGGGTTTGACATTGAGGATGCACTGATGAATGTATAAGGGCAGTTTTGTATATATGAATGGGAGTGAATTGCAGAATATTTGTGATCCTGGACCACAAAACCAGTCATATGTGTACATTTTTGGATTATGCATTATCTGAAAGCGGAATAAATAATTAGATGGAGAAAATGTATTAATGTATGGTTTGTTATGATTGGACAATATTTGGCTGACATACAACTGTTTAAAATCTGGAGTCTGAAGGTTCAAAACAATTAAAATACATTAAAATCATCTTTCAATTTGTCAAAATTAAAGCTACCGTGAAATTAAAATGATTTTTTTTTTAGATGTTAGTATCAGTGTGTCAGTTTTAAGGAAATCTATAAGCCAGGGGTGTCCAAAATCAGTCCTGGAGGGCCGATGTCCTGCATAGTTTAGCTCCAACTTCCTTTAACACGGCTGCCTGGATGTTTTTAGTACACATAAGCTGCGTCCCAAATGGCACACTATGCACTCATGCACTATGTACTTATGCACTTACACACTCAGCAGTATAGTATATGTATGTAGTGTCATCCCAAATGGCACACTAATGTTTTTTTACTAAGCGGAAATTCAAACCGTTTCCCTGATGACGTTTGACGGTCGCCAAATCATTGAAATAAACAACCGAATTATCAAATAATACCTGCCGTGAGTATAACCGCATTCACCATCGGGAGGCGCTATAATCACTCTCATAGAAGAATTTTGCTTTCACCATCCAAAATAAATAAAGTTATTTAACATGTGTGTCTGATAGCTCCGCCCCTTCCGCTACGTAAGCAAACCTGCGGTCGTTGAGTGCGTGAAGTGGCCATCCATACACACTTCATTTTAGCAGCTGAATGAGTGCATCATCCGGGTAATTAAAGTGCACTTATTATTTTTAGAGTTTTCAGTGTGAACACACTACTT